ACCTTCTGGCAGTGGTGGAGCAGGCATCGTACATGTATGTTCATACCGTACTTTCCAATCAATGGGTATAAAGATTGAGTATTCTTCTTCAACAGTCTCGTTGAAAGCTTCAGATGGGGTGTGGCCGTTCTCTCTCAAAACTTCGTATTGGGCTAAGAACATACCGTGGATACCTCCCATCAAACATCCTCTTTCTCCATACAAATCGGAGTTGACTTCTCTTTCGAAAGTGGTTTGGTAAACGTAACCAGAACCAATGGCAACAGCCAAAGCAATAGCCTTTTCCTCGGCCTTACCGGTAACATCGTTCCAGACGGCGTATGAAGAATTGATACCTCTACCTTCCTTGAACAAGGATCTGACGGTTCTACCAGAACCCTTTGGAGCAGCCAAAATAACGTCAACGTCAGTAGGTGGCTCCACATGGGTCAAGTCCTTGAAAACAGGAGAGAAACCGTGCGAAAAGTACAAGGTCTTACCCTTGGTAATCAATGGTTTGATAGAAGACCAAGTCTCAGATTGAGCAGCATCAGACAACAAGTTCATCACATAAGTACCCTTGTTAATAGCCTCATTGACCTCAAACAAGTTCTCACCAGGAACCCATCCGTCTTCAATGGCAGCCTTCCATGAAGCACCATCCTTTCTAACACCAATAATAACATTCAATCCGTTGTCTCTCAAGTTTAAACCTTGACCATAACCTTGGGATCCGTAACCAATCAAAGCCAAGGTGTCGTTCTTGAAGTACTCCAACAATCTCTCACGAGGCCAGTCGGCACGCTCGTGAACAACCTCGTCCATTCCACCGAAATTGATGGTTTTAACACCACGAATGGCACCAATTGACATGGACGATTTGTTGGTGAACATGGCTCTGACAGCTGGCGATCTGGCCAAGACAGTCAATGTTCTGGTGGCCACGGTCTGTTTAGCAGCGTTGGCAGCGGGGCGCGCAAAGCGAGTAGCGAGTCTGAAAGACATAATTATCAATTCACTAATAGGGTGGGGGGAATAACTTTTATATGAGAAGTGAAAATTTCGTCCAGGTGAGTAATTTCCTGCATACAACCTCCGGTGTCGCCCCGCCCCGGTACAGGGCCGCCAGCGGTGGGACTGCGGACTAGCGGAGGCCTGTACAGGCCAGTACAGGCCGTAGATAACTTCTGCCGCATAAAGTTGTACGGCGCATTGCTCCAGTCTTCGCCGCATACTTCGCCAAAGTCTACGCCGCACTCTTCTTTTTCTTCTGTACTCTTTACTCTTCTACACTTCACTGTCATCTCTCATTTCTCATTTCTATTACACACTAGTGTAAATCTCGTTCTCCACAATGTGGATTTGACCATGCTTGGTGGTGATTCCCTCGTCAATCGTGTTCAACCGCAACTTTTTGTCGCGTTTTGCAACCGACAAGTTGTCAAAAATCTTCTCAAAATCATCTTCATCAAAATCGCACCATGATTTCGACAGTGGATACGACTCCACCAACGAGGGAAAAGGCAGATGCTTATTAGGTTCATCTTGTTTCCGTGCACGACGCTCCACGTCGAGGTTTTCGCTTTCTTGTGGCAGAGGTAAGGTTTGTTGCTCGATGTCAATATCATCCATGTCAAACACAGCATGATCATCATGGTTCAAATCTTCTAATTCGTCTTCTTCGTCAATCGTTAAACCAAATTTCCAGTTGTTCTGGAGTGTGCTGATGAGCTTCTGCAATGACCTGGACTCGATCTTACTCTTGTAGCTTGATAAATCGTCATCGACTCCTCCAACCTTCAATGCGGTCATCACCACCTCAAAACAGTGCTGGTTCATCGTAGGATAAATGTCAAACAATACATCTGTTCTCTGGTGATTGACAAAATGCTTATAGTTGGAATCGGCTTCCACTGTGTTCGCCTCGCCCATGGGCTTAAAGGGCGAAGTACCAAAGATGGCTGTGAGAAGAGTTACTCCAAACGACCAGTAGTCAGAATATTTACAGTCGTATTCGCTGACGTCTGGTCTGGAACCAAAGCATTCCGGTGCCATATACTTTTCACTTCCAACTTTGAAATCACGGCTGTATCTTCTGGTAGTAGATAAGCCCCAGTCGCAGAGTTTAACCTGGCCATACTCCGTAAACAAGACATTTTCCGGCTTTATATCACGATGGTAGATGCCAAGGCTGTGGGCGTACTCAAGACCACTCTGCATTTCTCTGGCAATGTGCCAAATATCCACGGCAGACACTTGGGTGGTCGAATGGATCAAATCATACAAATCGCCGTTGGCACAATATTCAAGCATCAAAATCACAAAATCGTCCGTTTCAAACCATTCCACAAGCTGACAGATGTTGGCATTGCCGTTTCCCAACTTGGAGAGCATCTTGATCTCATGACGTGCAACGTTGCAAATGCCAGGATTCGATTTGTACATCGCCTTCATTGCGTACTTGGTGTTGGTTTCCACATCAATGGCTAGGGTCACTTTTCCAAAAGAACCCTCTTGTATCGGCGACACGTACTTGTACTTTTCGTTAAGTAGTAGCTTTCCCTGTTCGTACAAGGTGTAATTTGTCATGATAAAGATGGATTGTAATCTTATAATTCCTCTTATAAAGGTTCCAATTCCAGTCTAGATGCTGCTAAGAGTCTTATCTCCAACTCTGGTCTAAATCCCCGTTCAAATATCTATTTCCACTAAACCAATTTTGTGGATTTCTCTCCTATTCGATAACCTTCGATGATACGTGTGCAATGTAAAATGATAAAAACGACTTATGAAAACGACCTATGAGGGGTATTTGATTGTGGTACAGAAAGGAAATCGTCTCTTTATGTGTTTTTTTCGTGGTGGATCAACTGTGGAGTTTTGGGTGAGTGACTCCTTTTATCGCTGAAATGTCCTGTGCCGATAGCGGAATGGTGGGGAGAGTATCTGGTGCATGGGTGTGTTTCGATCTAGAGCCACAATGGTTGGGCCGAGGATAGTGAGGGTGGGGCTGAGGTAATCAGGACAAGCCAACAGTTAATGAACCTGGTTGGGTTAATAGGAGTCAATTATGGTCTTGTTGGTTGTAGCTTGCAAAATATTTGTCAATTGAATTGTCAAATTTGCAAATTTGCCACTTTGTTGGCCCATTTGTAAATTATTGTACATTAAGCCGCTCGCTAATAAATACTAAAACTAAACAATGAATCACTTCAATAATGGCTCGATTGCACTTGCCAACGACGAAGGTTTGGTCAACGACGAGAATCTTTCCACAACATTTCCATTCTTGTCAATTAAAAACTTTTCAAAGTTCCACTTGATTCTAGTCAATCCCAAAAGTCCCGCCTTTTGTTCTTTAAGATATTTGTAAACGGGGCTGGCCTTGTCACCATTAACGTCAACTTTTTGTAAAACAGGGAAAGTAACGCCATAGTTCAACTGGCAAAACTGACCAATTTCCTCATCAGTTCCTGGTTCTTGTTTGCCAAATTGATTACATGGGAACCCAATAATTTGAAGACCTTTGTCTTTGTACTTTTTGTTCAATTCTTCCAATTCTTTGTATTGAGGAGTAAACCCACACTTGGAAGCTACGTTTACAATAAGCACAACCTTGCCCTTGAGCTCCTCAAAGGGGTATGGTTTGCCAGTCTTGTCGTTGGGGGTCAAATCGTAAAACGAGGTCATGATAATTTGCGGCAGTGCGATACGAGCCATCATGTATCCGCTGGTGTACGGGTGGGCTGACTGGTGTGCCGCAGTGGTATTGGTTATCATAATCATACATTAAAGTAAATGTCTCCCACTAAGCCTATCAAGCCAAGGGCAAACCCGACAAATGCCACGCCGCCTCCGTATACTTGGGCTGCAGCAATGCTTCTCAAGTCGTGAACGTGTTCCTTCTTACGAAGCGCCTGTTCCACCTCTTCCTCAATCGACAACTCTTGTTCTAAATCCTTGGTTGCCGACGCCGTGGTCTGCGGCGATCCTGGTGCTGATGACGAGGGAGTGGACACTGATGACTCTTCGTCAGATACATGGATGTAAGATTTGGTAAGATCATCTTTGGCACCGGCACCGGTAGCGGAATTAGCCCCAGCAGCAGCAGCCTTGGATGCTCTCATCACCCTCTGTGCTCTTCTTTCTCCACGTGCTCCGCAAATAACCCGTTTCTGATTAGTCCAACTCTTATACCAAATAAGTCCCATTGATACTGGCGCCGCCAATGCAGTGTAGATGAGATATGGGTGTTTTTCGTTGACAGGAGCAGCCTTATAAATCAGCAAGAGAGCCACACTCGCTAAACCTGTCAAGAACGTACTAATAGCTCCTCCAAGGCGAACGGTACGCGCCGCCAATTGCAAATCAACTGGTTTATCTCCAGAATTGATATTCCTAATCATGTTTGGAATGGCTTTCATGCCCTGAAACGATAGCGACGAGCCGAGCAAGCCAATGGACGTGACTCCAATCACCTTCAACGTAGTTGAACAGGTTCCAGTCATGATGGTAAGGTAATCGCCACTCAGGGTCACACTGATCTTTGCTGTCGCGCGGGCGGGTAACTGGTGTCTGGATCAGCGTCAGCGAACGAAGTGAGCTGACGAAGACCACAAACCTCTAATACTTCATGTAGTTCATGTAGTTCATGATGTTCATGTTGTTCATGTTGTTCACTTGTTCATGTTGTTCCTCTTGTTTTTCAGTAGCTTAATATGAGTAGGGAAGTGAAGGTGTATGGGTCTTGTTCTTCCCTACTCTTTAACATCTTACTTTCTTAGTGAAGCTTTACTTCCTGGCACTCTTAGAAGTTGGTATCGGTTCGCTCTTGTCACTCTTATTGCTTTTCACTTATCTCTTTTTCCGAGCCATTGAGGAACCTTTTCCGGATCCAATCTCCACAGTACTAATATCAAAACCCTCAATCAACAATTCCACTAAGATCCGTCCTCCTCGAGCTCCGGTAAAGCGACGGTACTCTTCCGAAACACTGGCGAGATTCCAGCCTTGAAGTCGTCTTAAACACCCAATTACAGTGCCGGTACGATGACGACCCATACCACAGCACACCAACATGGGGTAATTATTACGGTCACAAATAAGTTCCAAAGCCTTCTTGATGGTGGTTTCGTTAAGGGAATCCCATGGATTCACATTCTGGTAACTATAATCATCATTGATCATTCCTACAAATTCAATGTTGATACTGTTCATCGAGCAGTAGTCCAAAAATTCTTCCTGTGGTTCTTCACTGGCCAACCAAATTATTGTTTTGAGATTGAGGTCCTGGAGAAACGACTGGTTGATTATCAGCGGTTGACCGGATCTATAGAGCTGTTTTTCCACCGGACAAAAGTTGAGCGGCGGTATGATTCGAAGCGACGGCGGCTGTACGACCTTCCTAGACATGACGCCAGTAATCTATGATTGGTTTTGGGGAGGGTGGATGAAATTTGCGGTGGCAAATACGCCAAATGTACAGAATTGAAGCAATGACGGTGGTGCAATTGCTGGCGGAGAATGGTATATGGAGGTGCACGGGTGTACAACGTATGAGACAGTATACAGTCGCTTCAATTCTACATTCCATTATATGACTCTTTACTCTTTTCTTCCTTAATTTCATCTTCGATAACTGAATGCTTTTTTCTGGTTATAATAATCCCACTCCTTTATAATTTTTCCATTTTCCAGCGGTTAGTCCATTTTCTGGCCACCCTAACACCATACTATCTTCAGTCCATGCAGTTATTAGGCTTTTGTCAATTGTGCTTAGGACCAATGGTCGCATCATGAAACCCACTTCAGGAGCATAGTTAAGCAAGTACACCGCACTATTATCGGCACTACCACTATTAAGTTGAAGTTTCTTCGAAGTAGCGGTGTTGTTGTAGAGCCCAAGTATCGCTATGGAATCTTTGGTAACGGTGGTTTGATTCCATAACCCATCTGAGGTGAGATTCAACTTGTAAACACCAAAGGTCGCAGGTAGTGTAGCAATGGCTTTACCTTCAGTTTCATCTAATTCATTTACCCATTTAAATCTAGACGGAGTGCTGACTTGTAACCCCGTATAAAGTTTTTCATCATTGTCCTTCCACCAGCCCATCATAGTACTTACGAGAGCTAATCCAAAGCAGAATTCGCCAAACGTACTAAGGGCGAAACTAATAATTCGATGTTTTCTCGGCATTACAGCATTGGGTTGGGGAACCATGCAATTTTTGGAAAATTCCATATACTTATCGACTGCCCAGTGTGAAGCTCCTGATGCTATAATAATGTTTATACTCCACAAATGAGCACTTTCTTTAACCCAATTATCCAACCCCGGACCCGCAAACACGTATAATACCCAACCTAGGATGATTGGCAAATACATATGATAGAAAATTTCAGGATTGATATGTATGTTGCATCTAAATGTCAAACGGACTGCATATCGATTCTTGATAAGTCCGTGCAGCCAAATTGAAGTACGAGAACCTCGGTTTATATAAGCATTTAACGCATCTGGAGTTAACTAAGCCCTCCGGGCTCTATGAAAGAAGGTTTAAGGCTGGCGAGATAATGGTAAATGATAAAAGATAAAAGTACATAAAGTCTGATTCTGGGTGAAGGAAGTGTCATTACATAATCCATGTGGAGCGCTTAAACAAAACGCAATTCAACGCCAAAAATAAAAGTCACCTTCCTAACCAGGTACAAGTAAGAGTCGATTTATCCTTATGGAAGTAACAACTTCGATGTATAGTCATGAATGCCAGAACAATCCGCGTAATCTGAACTCTTGTTGATTATATCATCATTGTCTTCCGCTTACGTGATGATATCTCTAAATCAGCGACACACCAGTCGCGAGATTTGGTTCTCCTCTACATGCCACGTCGTGAAAAGAAAACGGCATCGTATGCAAAGCCCGTCAATGAGGTGGTGAGTGCTGTGGCCACGTCGTACCGCGACTATATACGCAACCTCACACCTCGGTTGAAATTGATAGACTCATTTTTGGCATTCTTGGTGGCATTGGGAGGTTTGCAATTTTTGTATGTTTTGTTAATTGGAAACTTTCCATTCAATGCTTTCTTAGGAGGGTTTATCAGTTGTGTGGGTCAGTTTGTGTTAACTGTGAGTTTGCGGTTGCAATTTGTTTCGGGTACAGAACAGAAAAAGACCGTGGAAACTGAAGACGGCGAAGTAAAAGAAATGGAACCGGTATTTTCCATTACACCACAACGAGCTTTTGGTGATTATATATTTGCCAGCTTGATATTGCATTTTGTGGTGTTGCACTTTATCAATTGAAAAGGGGTTAATTGAGAAGAAAAGAAGCGAGGTTTGGAAGAAAAGAAAAGGAAGTAGACTGAAGTGAAGCGAAGAAGCCAGTATGCACTGAATGTATTCACCTTTGAGTGAGATCACGGAATACGAAGGCTAGTCGAATGAAGTATGTCACAATTATGTGTACTCGTTATCTAGTATAATCAGTACAATTTGAATTATAGCGGTATGTTTCGTGAAAAGATATACCAATTGGTATATCCTATCGAAGTGACTTCTTTGTACACTATCAAAATTTCATTACTTTCAGTATAGAAACTCTGACGATATTTGTTCATCCTAATAAATTATCACAATTATGTTCGATTTTGCAATTTTCTCCGAAACTATGCTAATACTCACAATTGCAGTTTATGTCAAAACTCACCAGTCATATTGAATTAAGTATATTCATCAGCCAGAGTATCTACCATATTACAGTATCTCATTCCTCCTCCTTTCATCTCACCTTTTCATTTTCTCCCTTTCTCCTCCGTAGTCCTCCATTAAACTACACAATTACACAACACCCCGACTTTTCCTTTGTGTCGGCCTTGGGCTCACTGGCCCGAGCCGGCTTACCAGCACTCAGCTTAGACTCAGCCTTCTTTTCAGGAGCAGCATCGCCAGGTGTGGTGGTGGCCCCAGTACCAGTAGCGGCACCACCAGTTTCGGCCACGGCACCACCAGTTTCGGCCACGGCACCACCATTCCGATCAGCCTTTCCAGTCTCCAAAGCTTTCTGGGAGTCACGAATCGACCGTACAAGCCCATAGAATGCCTCTTCCACATTGATTCTTTGTTTTGCTGAAGTTTCAAGAAATGCACAACCAAACAGTTTTGCCAATTCCAATCCTTTCTTCATAACTCACCTGACGTTCAATCTCCAAATCACATTTATTTCCAACAACCAAAACCGGAACCGTATCCAGATCCTTTACCCTTTGAATCTGCTCATAAAATTGTTGAAGTTCTTCCAAAGAATCACGCAGATTAATCAGATATACCAATAAGAATCCTTCACCAGTACGCATATATTGCTCGCGCATAGCCGAGTATTCCTCCTGTCCGGCAGTATCCAACACATCCAAGAGTACCTGTTCTCCATCAATGGTACAAGGTTTACGATAAGAATCTTCAATGGTTGGGTCATATTCATCGACGAAATGACTTTGAACCAACTGAATGGTGAGGGCCGATTTACCAACACCACCACCTCCGACTACTACTAATTTGTACTCTTTCATCATGCCTTGCGTAGTGCGTTTGATTGATTGACGATACTTTCAATTGGTACACGAATGGGTTCACTAGTAATTGCTTTCTCACGCCAAGGAAATATTGTTTCCGCCAGTGACTGGTGCACCGGTGTTTCGACCAGCCATTCGGCCAGGCGGGTGGGCTGGTGGTGGGCTGAGCACGCGAGCGCGAGGCGAGTGCGCAGCGCGCAGTCACCCTCCCTAGCGATTGTCCCTAATTCTCCCTAGCGACCTCCCTAACATTCCTAGACTCGCATTCCCTAACTCTCTAGAGGCGATTCTCTTCGCAAATCGTCGCTGATCGTCGTATGTTGCGATCGTCCTTCGTCGCGATCGTCGCTAAACTCTCGCTAGACTCTCTCTCACACCCGCCGCTTCTTCATTTTCGCCAAGCAGTCGTCGCAGTACCACCGGCCCTTCGGCGGGTTCTTAAACCCTATACACGGCAAATGGAACCATTCTCGTTTGCAATCTGCCCCGTCGCATCCCACCATTTCTCCAAATGAAACCTGGTTACAGTAACAGTACGTAGGCTCCGAGTTCCCTTCGTCGTCACGGCGAGGTTTGGTGGTGCGTTTTTTGGCCATCGCCGCTGCTGTCGCCGTGGTCGCAATCGCAGGAGTACCGCTGCGCGAACCTTCTTCGCTGCGCTGCTTCTTTTTCTTGTCTTCCTGCGGACTGCCTTCGCGACGCCGTTTCTTGTCGTCATCGTCGCGCACCACCTTCTTGGCAGCCAATGCTTCTCTTCTACTTTCACTGCGCGTCAGTTGAGCTGATCGGTTGGGATTTTGATTTTCGGTGGCGTTGGAATCCATGATCATGGCGGGATGATTGAGGGGTCCGATTCGGATCAGTTCGGGAATTTCATTGTTGGCGAGAATCATCTGGTAATCGTTATTTATTCGATGCATATGTTTGTACAACACATCGGTTGCCACCGTGGTCACATGCATTTTTTCCTCTAAACAAGGAATAATCTCGTGGATTTTGTGACCGATGGTTTCCAATCGTTTCGGTGTCACTCCGTCCGCGTGAACCTCATCCAAATATTTTTTGATATGACCATTTATTTGAGGAATCGTGTTGATACACTTGGCGTCGATCTCCTTGAGTAGCGTAAAGTACTTGATGAGATCCATAGGAAGCGCTTCAAACGCATCGGAAATATCGTTGAGTCCAGGAAGCAATTCCGCTGGGGAAGAAACCGTTCGTGCCTTTTGTTTGTATTGGTCAAAATGCAGCGGTGTGCGCTTGCTTGCACGCGATTTGTGACGCAACTCCATGATCAGAAAAGAAATTCAAAATGATACTAATTCAAAGTTGATATTGAAAATAGAGACTGGTACTGCTAGATGTGCGAAGCATCGTGGTGCACCGGTGACTGGACTGCGTGTGGACTGTGTCTGAGTCGTGCGTGGTGGACTGGGTGCTGAAGTTTAATTGTTCTTCGCACGGTGGACGGGATTCACGTTCTGCCGATGAGATGATGTCACGTGAAATCTGTCAACCACAGTTGCAACCACCTAATTGCCACTTGTCTGTGTTACCGCACCTGGCATGCAACGAGCTGCAAATTTATTGTGGCGGTACTAAATTGGCAGCTCTGCGGTTTATTTTTCGTTTGCGTGAATCGTTTTCGTGCCGCATCAACTAGTGTGGCTCACTCGTGATTAGCCATTCACGTTGCATCATCGGTATTAGTACGGAAGACAAAGAATAGGGAGAGTTCTACTTAAGTACTAAGCAGGTTCAGTACTTAGCAGAGACCGAGTGGACAAGAACGCCAGTTTATCCTCAGTTGAACTCAACTCAGCCAACAGTTCAAGCACTCAATCTTCATTCAGTTCAACATTCAATTCACTTCAATTATAAGCTTCCACTACAAGCTTCAAATATAAGCTTATTAACCACAAGCTTCACCTAAGCTCCATCTCATCAGCTCCATCCACTACGCTTCATCAGCTCCAACCCTATTCTGCATTCAGCTCATGGTACATGAATCACGATAATCCCATGTTTCATTCCGAAATAGGGCGCCTTGATTCGCCTCCTCGCAAACGAGTCCGTAACGATGTTCATTATCGAGATTCTCCTGCCGGTACACCGGTGATTGAACAGAATACAAGTTATGCCAGACAATATCAAACTCCCAAACCTGATGACGAAGACGAAAGGTTTTTGCGGTTGGCACGAGAAGCGTTGGTGGCTACAGCCACCGCCAATCAGCAGTCCAGTGAATTGAATCCACTTGTGGTTGACCCCACTATTTCTGACCTTTTACATCGGCTTCAATATGCTCTGTCTCCACATGGAAACCCCATTAAACGGGGTCTGAACATCCATGCCAATGAAAACGGTCAATTGATGATCCAAAGCTTCTACAATCAGTTTCCCAATATGAGCAATGATATTTTTGTGAGCTCCAATAACCACCCTACCAATTCAAGAAGTGAAGGATGGAACTTTTTGGTGGGCGAACCACTCGAGTTGAGAGCACCACAGACAACACCGCAAACTCATCAGCCTAACCACTCACATTCGCTTTCTGAACCAATATCGGAGCAGATTTCGCAGCCATTATCGCACCGTGATTCCATCGCTCGTCCTCGTTCTCCGTCTTTTTCCAGACCCAAAGAGGCTTCACCAGACCTAAACGACTCCGACGATCAGGATCGCAAGTTTTTTTGCACACAATGCTCAATGTCGTTTCGGCGGTCGTCAGATTTGAAGCGCCATGAAAAGCAGCACTTTAAAGTATTGCCGTATATTTGTGAAGAATGCGGCAAGTCGTTCGCTCGAAAAGATGCGTTGAAGAGGCACGTCGGAACGTTGACATGTAAACGAAACACAGATAAAAAGTTGTATGTGGACAATTTGAATTACTTGGAGAGAAATAAGTAGGTGAATTGCAGCCAAACAAAATCTACTTCCTTCAAATACTTCAAATACTTCATTTAATTGCTTCACTCACCAACCTGACCATCATCATCTAAACACCACAAGATATTCAAACTAAATATTTACTACAATCTTACAAGATTCACTATCTCAAGATTCACAAGATTCACCACCATCTCTTCGCACCCTTATGTCATCCTCGGATCACTTCCTTCCTCCCGAGTCATTGCCGCCATACACCAGCGATGCCATTTCCACATCTCGAACACTGAGTTTCCAAACCCACTTCAAAACATAACTAAAGTCCAATTCGCCACTTCAGAAGCTCCCCAACTTTTCTCCAGTTATCCTCCCCACACTAAACCCCACAATCGAGCAACCCCCAACAGGTTTGCTGGGTGTTACCCGGCACGCTGATAACGTCATGTGCGCCTCGGTTAATTAAATCAGATATAAAAGAAGTGTAATGCCAATGCGATGCCAATCTACAATTATGTCTCGTGCGACCGCCAGACTCAGCCAGCTTGCTCATATTCTTGAGCCCAATCCTACAAATGCTAAACAGTCACTTTCTCCTTCACATCCTTTCAAAATTGCCGTCATTGGTTCTGGAAACTGGGGAACCACCATCGCCAAAGTTTTGGCAGAAAACGCATTATCTCGTCCCCACTTGTTTGCCCACTTTGTAGACATGTGGGTGTTCGAGGAAAAGGTTGATGGACGCAATTTGACCGAAATTATTAATGAGGATCATGAAAATGTCAGGTACCTTCCCGGTGTACCATTGCCCAAAAACTTACGGGCTCAGCCAGATATCACGGAAACCGTTAAGGATGCCGATTTGGTGGTGTTCAACTTGCCACATCAATTTTTGCCCAGGATTTGTGACCGGTTGAAGGGTAAATTGAAACCTAGTGCCAGAGGCATTTCGTGCTTGAAGGGTTTGGAAGTGGACTCCAACGGAGTCAAGCTTCTTTCCACCGTGATCACCGAGAAGTTGGGAATAGCATGCGGAGCCCTTTCGGGTGCAAATTTGGCTCCCGAAGTGGCCAGGGGAAAATGGTCAGAAACTACCGTCGCTTACAAGCTTCCCGCCGACTTTAAAGGTGCTGGAAAAGATATAGATCGTACTGTGTTGAAAGCAGCGTTCCACAGACCTTACTTCCATGTTAATGTCATTGAGGACGTGGCGGGTGTGTCTATTGCTGGAGCGTTGAAGAACATTGTTGCTCTAGCTGTGGGCTTTGTGGAAGGCTTAGGTTGGGGAGATAATGCCAAAGCTGCCATTATGAGAGTTGGATTGTTGGAAACCATTCGTTTTTCCAAAACATTTTTCCCGGAGTCGGACCCTTCTACATTCACTGAACAGTCGGCTGGTGTTGCTGATTTGATCACCACCTGTTCTGGTGGAAGAAATGTCAAGGTTGGCAGATATATGGCGGAAACCGGAGAGGAGGCCCAGGTGGCTGAAAAGAAGTTGTTGAACGGCCAATCGTCTCAGGGAATTATCACCGCCAAGGAAGTGCACGAGCTCTTGGAAGCCAAGGGAAAGACTGGGGAGTTTCCTCTTTTCGAGGCAACCTACCAAATCATCTATGGAACCGAGTCCATTGAGAACTTGCCTGTATTACTTGAAAGTAGCATCTGATTATAGAAAGCATGTAATAGATATAGTACACCACACCCAAAGTTATTCTTTTTTATGCTTTTTGGCTTCGGCTTCGTCTTCTCCATTGTCTTGCTTTCTCTTCCCATCTCGCTTGGCTTCATATTTCTGTAAAAACTTGTCCATGAACATACTTGAAAATTCCTTGATTTTCTTCAATTTGGCACGATCAAGCTCAGTGGGTGGTGCTGTATCTGGGTGTTTCTTGATTTCTTTACTGGCTAAGATTTTCACCAAATCTTTGGCACAACCTTTTACATTATCATGACCGATGGTTTTCTCGTGCTTCTTGATCATATTTGGAATATGTTTGGCAAACAACTTGGCCCACTGCTGCTCGATCGAAACATTATTATCGCTTTTATTTTTCTTATGCTTTTGATGCTTTTGGTGCCTTTCACGGCTTTTAGCCAATTTTTCCAATCTGGCTTTTTCGTCTGCTTGACGCTTTTCTTCTGCTTGGCGCTGCGACTGAAGAATCACATCCTGTAGCATTCGCTCCTTCTGTTGGATTTCTTTAAACTGGTTTTCTCGTTCTTGTTTCAACCGTTCTTCTTCTTGTCTCGCCAAAATATCCTCGGCAAAATTTCCAGTCCGTTTTCTTTGTGGTTCATTTTTGGGTCCCTTGGGAAACAGAGGACCCTTGGGCGGCTCCAGAACAGGCCGGTCCCATCTGGAGATTCCCAATTGCATGTGGTAGTAGTATGGTTTTTGGGTATTGGGGTCGATGGTCATATTCCACCCTTCAGGAAGAGGTTCTTCTGGTGCGGGCTCCGTAGGCTCAGGCGACTTTGAACGAGCTCCACGGCCATATACCGAAGGGGAACTGGACCCTCTTTCACCATTGACGTTTTTCGGTATACGATATGCCATTTGGAGGTTTCCCCATTCTTTCAAAAGATCCGACGAAAGTTGGGTTATCTTTTTGTTCTTGCTTTGTTTGTGAAGCTGGCGCACCACATCTTCGATCTGCGACGAAGAGATCTTGTTTCTGGTGACTTTGGGCCATTTGGAGAGGATGGTTAGTGTTTGGATGATGGTGGAGGTATCGTTGTCGCACGTTTGAAGCACTTGTGATAATGTCTTGTAGCCATGCATTCTCACGATAGATGAGTGGATTGTAGGCTCTTCGGTGAGGTAGATTCGCTCCACGAGTTTCCTCGTAATGTTAACATCTTGTTCCTTCATGAGAGCACCCATCACCTTTGATACTTCTGAGTCTTCAATTGGCGTAACTTCAATTGACTTAACAAACGCCTCGTTGATGATTGAGTCGTCCTTCTGTTGCTTGGACCGCAAATGCTTGTTTTCCTTGAGCCATTGTCTCTCCATTTGGTGGGTAACTCCCAAGGCTTCGGAGATGCCATCTGGAAGAAGCAAAGCTGCGTCGGTTTGCGTCTTTCCGCCCATTACTTTGATACAATTGGGCTCTCCGCAGTAACAGGGCTGCGATTGAGCGCCGTATCTGTCGACATTGTAATCGAAAGTTATCTCTTCGCCGGCTTGAATCAACCTTTTCGCAAAGATTCCCATTCGCAATTTGTCTCCCACAACCCACTTGTCTACATAAGCATTGGGGCTGCACGAGTGGTTACAGAAACGTGCTAACGAGCCTTTGATGGTGGCATCGATAAACGAGTCCTTTTTCAACATCATAAAGTAAAAATGGGGAAACTTTTTCTCGTCGTATTCCACCATTCGTTTCCTGAAACTTTCTTCATTAATAACTTCTCCAACATATTCGTAAATGAACCCAGACTCGTTTATCTCCTCATTGGCCCGTAGCCCATACCCCTTGAGCTCGGTTTGAATCACCGAAACATTTGCATATTCCTTTTTTTGAAATCGCTGATTCTGACAGTCGTCACCACATCCACACGATTTGTTTACACACTCGACCGAGGTGGCTCTATTGATACACTCGGAGTGCTCTCCACACGCCAAGTTGCGCTGGGTGGCTTGGTCCCATTTTTCGTGGCAATCACACGTCATTTGTTCATTTTGGCCCGAATGCCCCAACTGCTTATTTGCATAAATACACTCGGAAATCTCCTGAAACGAGGTTCTGGCTTCATCTGTCTTGTCCTGTGAGTCGAGAAAGAGCGGGGGTGTACGCAGCTTCTTCACTGGAGACGCCAGGCCACTCATGCTGAAGGGTGTTTTTGATATGGTTTAGATTTTTCAATCTTATTTTTCAATCTTTTTTTCTCGCGCGATCGCATATCTATATATCTATAAGCAGTAGAACCACTTGTATGAGGTCTTGCGGATCACTGTCTTTCTTGCTCATGTATGCCTGTAGACATTGCGTCACCCGATCGAACCTGGCCTCGACTTTCGCAATAAGTTCTTTGTCGCCGTGATTTTTCTGTGGAGTGAAAACTCGCCTAACTGACGACTTGTACGCAGTAGCAGTATTATCTCCTCCTTCGTCCCCAGGCACGGTTTTCATCTCAAAGAGCTTGATTTCCTTGGCACGAAGACTTACCAAGATTGTACGCGAGCTTACATCGTTGTACCCACAACTATTCTTGAAAAACAAAAGGTCGTTCTTCATGGCAGTGGTGATCTGGCTCTCTAGCTTAGGACTAAGTGGACAAGATTGGAGCACAAACTCGGGCCAAAACTCGTCGGAAAACGCAGCCACAGGCAAGAGGGGTACACTGTGAGCTATGCGGTCCGAAACATCAGAAAGCGAAGTTATTGTCGATTGGTCATCTCCACCAAGACTATCGTCTTCATCTCCATCACTGATACTGAGTGTGTTACTCGAATATGACGATACCAGGAGCTTTGAATTCATGATTTTGCTGCACTTGGCCCTAATTCTTGCTTCGTTGATCATTTGTGGAATATTGTGCAGTAGTGTCTTCCCACGAACCTTATACGTTGGATAAATGCCCGTGGTGGACCTGATAAGTTCATAGCCATTTTCAACATGCTTGGTGTCGATATTGGCAGGTTTTCGGTTCGATCTGTTGGGCGGTTGGGGATGCCAATTGAACTCGTCGTGCTCGACAGCCGGCGACGGGGTCCGCATGTACTGGACCGAGTTTCTCTTTGACAAAGAACCACCAGTAATATGGGGTTCGAACTCTGGCGGATGATGATCAAAGTAAGACCCCATGTGTCCTGGTTGTGCTCCTTTCCACATGTCGAGAAAACTGCCTCCAAGCTTTGAAAGCGAGTAATTCGATGCCGACGACGAAAGAGTCGAGCTGAGTGAAGAAGAAAGGTATGCCATGGACGTGGAACGTGAAAGCGATCTTCGTGATTCCAGGTTATTTCCAGTCCCCTTTGTAGCCTTTATGGGTATAGTGTTGGTGGTTGTGTCGACTTTTGATTTGAGTGGAGTAGTGGAGGTGCTCGCACACGATTTATGGGGAATCTCCCACCCTCTGGAAGTCGCCGAGCGACTAAGAGAATGAGCAGAATTGTCGGAACTGTTGGCCGTGGAAATCGGTGCTGATTTTATAGGAATAGGCATTGCCTGAACTTTGTTTTTTGTGGGCGTCGATCCGAAGGAACTGCTCACTACTTCTTCAGTGGGTGAAGGTGATAAATAATAGTTTCGTGGGGCTCTTAAAGGTTCATTATGGTGTTCTCTAACGCACGGTTCTGCAGTGTCTTTCAAGGCAGATACGTCCTTGCAATGGGTCAATTCGACGCTGATGCGATTGTCGGGTATGAGTCCATTGAGAATAAATACGAGTTTTTTGGCAACAACCGGATTGCCGGTCATTATTACAACTCTGGTAACGTCGCGGTGGTGTCTATCGGGACCCTTTTCCAAAGGTTTCATACCTAACAGTTTCCGGAAGGGCAAAACGGTAGCAAATAACGATGCAAGAAAAGTGCTACTCATCATCACATCGTCGTTGTGAAGAAATTGGGTATTGGATGAAAGTGCATTCGTCAGTTGTATGTTTTTACCATCCTTGAATTCTAGCCAGTTGGTGAGCTCGATAGCCCAATTTATGATGATGGGATGGAAAGACGTGGAGCCGCTTGCGGCGCTGAAACGTATCAACAGGTTAGTGCTGGCTAGCCGAGGAACATTGGTGTTATAATGTACCAAGCGGACGAGTTTCTTGATTTGCAAAGCAACGTCTGAGTCTTGTTGGAGCACGAGATCCGGGAACTGGATCCGTTTGTTGGTGATGTAGGGTGAAGCATCGCAATCAGACACTTCATCACGAACAGCATTATTGAGAAGCGTCACTAGTTTTTTGCTGACTAAACGCTGGAGAATAATCAGAAAATGGCAGATTTCTTCCCAGTTGTTCAACACCACCGTGGTCAAGTTATCGAGTGATTCGATGGGTATGATGAAGGCCACGGCGAACCGGCTGTGGATGAGGTTGTGTGATTTTGATGTGGGCTTATAATCAAAGGATGGCAAGCTAGCATGTAAAGTGTTAGCCTTGTCGGTATCTAGGGCCAGTTGTGGGCGCCACGAGGGAGTCGAATAGGTGTCTTCGTCAGCGAGATCGGTGAGGGAAAATAACTTGGAAACGAGCACAGAGTATTGGGTATCATTAAACTTGTTGTGAGGTGAGGGAAGGATGTGGAGTTTGGATGAAAAGTGAGATTCGTTTGCCGGAATTCCACACCCAAATATGTAGTCGTGTAGCTCCGCGGCATGGTGGTGTAGTTTCGATTTTTGGTTGCGAGCAATCGGAGTTCCATTGTACGCTGAGTCGTAAAGAACCTGTTTTGAACGAAGATTCCCGCCGTCCTGAGACACTATGACCCGGAACGCTGTTCTGTCAAACTGGACAGGAACCAAAGACCGAGAATCGGAGGTTCCATAAAGGGTCTCACGAGTATAACCATCTTCAAAAGAATTGCCATTATTCACCACGCCGTTACCCGGGGCCAACCCAGCGTTATTAGGAATCTCCTGGTTCGAAGAGGGCTGGTTGTTGGCATATAAGGAAGAACTAGAACCTTTTCTAAGAAGTCTTCCAAGCATGTCGTAATCGTGTCACACTATAAAAAGCTGGTATTATTGCATACCATGATGATAAATAAATATTAGGTTGGGAAGATGAATAAATAAGGTTCCTGAAGCAGGGGCAGAAACCGGATAAGTTTTGGGAAAAATGGGGGTGTTTCAAGGAAGAAAATAATAGTATGCAAACAGCGGTGACACCTGACGCTGTGCAGGAGCGCCCCATCCGGAAACCGGCAGGTAATTGCGACAGCGAGCGCGAGCGGTAGCGAGCGCGAGCAACAGCCGAAGTACAGCGAAGCACTTGAAGCGTAAGCGACAAGTGATGCGAAAAGACATATTCTACTGGCGATTTTATAAATGAAGTATATTTATTAGCATTATAGATCACGACTCATATTTCACTATGTTTATTATTTTCTTCGAATTGAGAGAATGTTTGGCTGCAAATTTAAAGTTAGAGTATAACATTGTATTAAGAATTTGTATTAAGAGATTGAGTAGTGACCATATCTACAACCTCATACTGAATGTCAACTATTCTTATCAAATTTGGCGCGAATTTGACGCGAACATTTGGCGCGAAAACTATTTGGCTGCGAAATCTTGCTGCGAATACTTTTTGGCCCAATGCTTCTTTCCGCAATTTTCCTACATCTCCCCCAACACATTCTCAATTATACCACACAACACATCAGCATGCGACTCATTAAAAGCCAAACTTGGACGGAGCCGAATAGCAGCTTCTCCACATCCTCCAATATTGACACCTTTGGCACGACATGCCAACAAAAATTTGGCTCTATGGTCAGCATTTGGTGAGTCCCACGCAATAAAGGTGCCCATATTCTGACCTCTGATATTGGAGGCGTGGCCGGGATACTTTTCGAAAAGCGAAGAAAGGTTGTTGAAGAGATAGTCTCCAACAGAGGCAGTAGCAGCAACAAGATTATTTGCCTCTATTTCTTGAACAATTGTCCTTGCAATGAGTGCTTTGGATGGATCTCCACACCAGGTGTTGAACTGGCGATAAGCTTGGCGAGGCTGTAATTCTGGGTCTCTAAAATAGAAACCTGCTGCTTGGAACTTTTTTGAAAAAGTCACCATATCTGGTGGAGTTGAAAGGTTCCAATGCTCATGGGCCCAGAACTTTCCTGTGGCGGCCACACCAGTCTGAACTTCATCCACAATCATGAAAATATTGTGTTTTAATGTGATATCACGAACACCTTGAAAGAAACTGGCAGAGGCATGGTTGTCTCCACCTTCGGATTGAACAGGTTCCACAATCAAAGCAGCGATATTTCCTTTACCTTTTCCAACTATAATGTCCTCCAATTGCTCCAAACAACGATTTTCTTCTTGTTTATTCTCATTTTCAAAATCTTTCAATGGATATTTCAACGCTGGAAATGGTGCTTTGGGCCATGGAAATGCAGGAATGTCCAACTTGTGAATGGCCTTCGATCTCGTGGTGGAAAGAGACCCGAAAAGCCGTCCGTGGAACGCCTTGTCAAACGAAAGAATACACTTTTCGGAGGCGCCAGGAGCTTCATTGTTCATCACACTGATAAGCTCTTGTTGGTTAAAGTCACGCGACCCGCGGTCGCGTGCCGCTTGCAACATGAACGCTGCCTTGAATGCAGTCTCGTTAGCATCGGATCCGGTGGTGGCTGTCCAAACTTTAGTCATTCCCGGAGGTGCGGCTTTCAAGATACCGTCTTCGAGCACTTTCTGGTAATCTACTCCTGGGAAACATGCCAAAGCTGGCCGGTTGATTAAAGCTGTTGTCATTTCGTCCAGTTTTGCAACCTGCTTGAGTGCAGGATTATTGTACCCCAAACCGATGGATGCGATCTGCATATAGACGTCGAGGAGCTTGTTCCCATCGGCATCGGAGATATAGTTACCTATACTATTATAGTAGTCGGTAACAAAGTAGGCGGCTCTATTATCGAACACGTCTCCCAAATTGGTGTTCAATTGAGTTCCGATGGGACCGGGAACCTCGGTTTTGAGTTGGGGAACCGAGGGCTCATCGGGGAAAACCGACGAGGCATACGATGAGTACCGCTTGGCTAATTGTGCGATCCGAGCGGCGCTGGTGGTTCTGTGGACAGATCTCAACATTTGGATGAACTTGCTTGGGGTTGGGGACTTTATATATTATGGAGATGGATGGGGATGGGATCCCGAGGATGTGTGCAGGAACTTGTATGCAGGTGGGTAAATTTGAAGAGTTCATAAAAATGGAAGTTAATGGAAATTCATTCGGGATAAAATGGTACGTGGGGTTTGTGTGTGTGTCTGTAGTTACTGTGGCTGAGTTTCGTGAGTTTAGAGTCAATATTGATTGTTTAGCTGATGTCAGTTAATCGCTGTTGCGCGCTTGTTCCCAAATAGGCAATTCGCACCCATAGATAAGCGATTGATCAAATGGTCAAGTGATCAAGTTTGACGAATTTCAATTTCAATTCACTTCCTAACACTAAATTTTCGGGCAATTTTAAAACTCTACAATTCTACAAGTTTTACTGAGTTCTAAAAATAATCCGAATCACTATGTTCCTGCATGCATCCCATTGTCCTGCATCAACCCCCAGCCAAGCCTGCTGCGGATTTATTGAGAATTGGTCACTGATTCTTTGGTGTTATTCTTTCAAGTTTCTAAGCTTTTTTTTCCCAATTTTCACATTTGCCATGACAGAAGTCCAGCGCGATGGCAACCAGCTCAAGAAAATCATAAATCGTCTCAGTGGACAACCAAATTCCTATTCTCGTAAAGCCAATTTCACCTTTGGAAGAACGCTTGGAGCCGGTTCTTTCGGTATAGTTCGACATGCTAGGGATAATACGACGGGAGAAGAGGTGGCGATCAAGATCATTTTGAAAAAAGCACTCAAAGGTCATGAAGATGTTGTGTTGGACGAGCTCAAATTGCTCCAACAACTCCACCATCCTCACATTGTCAGTTTTGTAGATTGGTTCGAACTGAAGGATAAATTCTATATTGTGACTCAATTGGCCACGGGTGGCGAACTTTTCGACCGAATCGTCAACCAGGGCCGTTTTAGTGAGCACGACGCATCGTTGGTGGTGGTCCAGATGCTCGAGGCGATCCAATACCTTCATAGCATCGACATTGTCCACCGAGATTTGAAGCCAGAAAACATCTTGTACCTCACACCCGCTACCAACTCCAATGTGGTGTTGGCGGACTTTGGTATTGCCAAAAAACTCCAGTCACCCAGTGAAAAATTGACGTCGTCGGCCGGTTCGTTCGGGTATGCAGCTCCAGAAGTAATCATCGGCTCGGGACACGGGAAGCCGTGTGATATCTGGTCTTTGGGGGTGATCACATACACTGTTCTCTGCGGCTATTCGCCATTTCGGTCGGAAAATGTTCAGGATTTCATCGCCGAGGTCCGCAATAATAATGCCGTAATTTTCCATGCTGATTACTGGAAAGATGTATCCAAGGATGCTCGTCGATTTATCATCAAGGCACTTCAATTCGACCCGGAAAAACGACCCACGGCAGATGAATTGTTGAAGGATCCTTGGCTCGTATCGGTAGCTGCTGACCACAAGGATAACGATTTGCTTCCTAATATTAAACAGCAATTCAATGCCAAATCCAAGTTCAAGCTGGCGATCGAAATGGTCAAATTGAACAACAAGATCCAGAAATTGAAGGAGTTACAGACCGACGACGACGACGATCCTAATGAGATTAACTTGTTTGGCTCCGAAGGCTCGATAATATCTGAAGATGAATTCGACACTAAAGACTCTAAACCTAATGCCTTATTCGACTGGAAAAAGTTCTCTCAAGCGTTGGAACTGGAACACCCAGACGGGTCCAAATCCTCATTGGCGAAACCTAAGAAGGAAAAGTCATCATTGACCAGCGATGCATTCGTGCAATTGGTTCATGCTGCCAAGCAGAACAAGGACAGAGTTACGAGTTTCAAGGAGGAGTAGATGTTTGAGAAGATTATCTTATTATATAGTTACACTCAGACAATTGAAACTCCTAGTATTTGCTCCACTTCCACAACTTTTCACCTGGGTTGACCAACTCGTCGTCATTCTCAGTAAAGTTGGCTCCCTTACCTTCACCTTGAGCAGCAATGGCGTGCAAATAAAACACATAATCAGCAGGATTGAAGTTCTTGAGTTTCTCATAAACTTGTTTCAAGGTATCTTCCTTAGAAACGGCTTCTTTTTGAGTCAATTTGACGCCGTGGTCTTTCTCGTATCTCTCAATAACATCCTTGACGGTGACCTTTCCAGACTGGATTTTAACCTGTTGGGGCCAGTTTCCAGATGGATTCGAAGCAATTGAAGCAATTGCAAGTCCCAAATCGGTCAAATTTGTGTACGAGATTTGGGTGTTCAAGTCACCACGAGCAACATACTCCTTCTTCTCGACATCAATTCCAAGGTGGGGAACAATCTCGTACAACCAAGACTTTGGAGAAGCAAAAAATCCATTGTAGATGTCCACCACTTTAATTCCGGCAGCTCTAACATTTTCGGAATGGTCATCCTTGACGTTCAAAAGCCCAGGAATGTAAGAAGAGACGTATTTCACATCAACACCGAATTGCGATGGGATATAAAGCTTGGGTTTGACTTCTTTGACAATCGATTCCAAAGTCTTGAGAACATCAGGGTTGACGGTAAGCAACGAAATGATCACGTCTGTGCCTTGAAGTTCCTTCACGACCAGCGCAGGATCGTCATAGTTGACGGCGACATACTTGAGCTTGTCAGTACTGGATTTACCTTCGGTGGACCTTGTAATTGCTTTGATGGGAAATTGAAATTTACCTGCAAAAACACTTCCTTCCAAAGCTTCAATTAATTTTGGTGCGATAACACTGTTGATTCCAACGATTGCAACGGACGACATAGTTTTGTAATATTCTTGTTAATGATGAAAATCAGTTGTGGCAGCTGGTTATTTATATGTTCATTGGTATGTAATCAAGGGTTCAGTTGTGGCTGCGAAAATCAAATTTTAGTAAGAGCTGCTAGTGTAAGCATACTTGGATGCTGACAACAGAAGGAGGGGGAAGACGATGATGCCACAATTTGCGTGCGCGTATCAATTCATTTAGTCAGAATGCCATGCAGTACGGGTTTTAGATTAGTAATGATCATGTGACGCTGTGCCGTGCATCTTTCAAAACGGTTTACCCTTTAACTCCCCGCCACCAAAGGTGGGGGATCAACCCAAACTACGGGCCTGGCGTAATCACCTGCCCTATAATTAAGCTTTCGCGGGCGCACAAGTGCAGTGGCCCGCTTGCATGCGAAGGTAGATTAATGTCGTTATTCGCGCACTTCTGCACATGCAAAAATTGGGCACATTCATTCATGCATGCCAATGTCGGTAATACTTGACTGATGCACCCAAGTTGGACAGTTTGGGAAATTACTGCAGAGGTACTGAATAGGTGTCAGCGATTGAATGATAAGGCGTTTGTGAAATTGATGCAAGATTCACAATAGAAAACGACTATTTTTTGACGGTAAAACCATGGAGTTCCTTTGTCAATATTTTGGGTTCTGCCGTCTACTACTTGCGTCATTGCCCTTGCAGCCATTATTTTTTATGTTCTATCTGTATCCACAACCTTCCTTTTCAAAATCAATGTGGCTAATGTAAGCGCCAGGTGAATCAGCGAGAGTACATATCGCTTTTCTGGTTGGGTAATATTATTTGCATAGCTAAGCCTGGTGATTTATCGACAGGTCGTTATTTTTTGGGTGCGAAATTTCAGTTCGGAACCGCGTGTTTGGGTAGGGGAATGCAGCACCGATTCGATAAAAGGATATTTTGATGAACAAATTATTTGTTGTAGTCTTGGCCATGTTCACATAATACATGTCGGATGAAACGGAAAGATACGATTTACGTGAGACTTGAAGTGAAATGCGAGACTAAGAAGCGAAAAGTCCGACAAATGCGGAAAGATTTGGCGAAAAATGAATTAACGAAAAAATGAATCTCCAAAAATAATATAAATTCTGGAAAAAGTTGACGCATAGATGAATCGAAGGTGCATAGCCAAGAATAAAGAGTGAAATGAATGATGTGAATGTAGAACTGGAAAATAATTGAATGCGAGAAGAATTACGAAATAATCGAAATGGAAATGAATGTGAAACGAGAAAATAGCCAAGATGGAATATGCTCCTTCGTTTTACTCCTACTGTTGGTGGTATTAAGTAATTGTACATTATCGTAGCATGCGTAACAACACTGATCGTAAGGAAGGTGTTTCCAATTCTATATAGCGGGAGTGGAAATGAATTCGGGCAAGATGTCAAGCCCATTACCCTCAATTTCAAAGCTGAGAGGAAAGTTGTAAAGTTCGTCAATAACAGGATCGTCGTTCTTGTCATTAAGTTCGGGAATCATCATGTTGTATGTTGGGTCCATGGTAGGCATTGTCAATTTATCGGAAGATGGTGCAGTCAACGTCATGGGCAGGCTTTCTGACGAAGGAGAAATGGTGTGTGGTTTGGAATGGGAGAATAACGATGGTGGTGTGGGGTTGTACTTGGTCAAGTCAGGAACAGACACCGATTTAACATAGTTTGGAACTTCGGTATCAAAATCAGTCATTTGCGAAGGTTCGGGTTTCAAACTCAAGTTCAAGTCCGGTTGTTCAGTTTTCAAGTCAAAGCTGAAATCAAATGTGGTTTGGGGCATGGTAAAGTCTTGTTTACCCAAAGTTGGAGACAATTCGGGGATATCCCAGTTCAATTGGGTATTGTTGAACGGAGCAGGAGCATTGGTAAATGCGGGAGAAGAACTTTCTATTTTGACTCTCTTTGGGCTTGGTTCAGCGGATGGAGAGCTGGTGCTGGACGAGGCAAAGTCGTCACGCTGACGAGTCATGCCACTTATCGACAGTAACGACGATGGTGGGGTGATGTCGCTCTGTTCATCCTTGATGTTTTTAAGGTATTCCCAGCATTTGTCACCATAAGTCTTTGGGGTCAATCCAGTAACCGACTTGAAAACCCGGTGAAAATGCCATGCGGAAAGTTTTGACTTAGCTGCTAATTCTTTGAATCCGAGCACACCGCCTCTTCTCCTGCGCTTCCCCTTAGTGTCTTCTGGAGATCTGGGGCTTTTTGGAGCTGGAGCAAAGATGTTAATGGCAGCAGCAAGAGCCAAATGGCGGCATGCGAGGTCCACGAGACGGTAATGGTCAGAATCGTTTTTGGATAACGATGAGTTTTCAAATTCCTTGGACCCATTATCGATGTTTATAGATGGGTAAGATGACCTGCGAGCATTGATCGTTTGAATAATAATCTCCTTGTTACTTTTCTTTGTTTCCATAATATTCTCTTTGATAAGCTGGTCGTTCATGTCCTCGTTTTCATCAAGGAGTGGCGGAAGAAACCCAATCAGTTCGTTTATAGAAGCCACACATTGTACCAAAAACTTGATGTCAACAGCCGGATGCGACAAGGGTTCACAGTGCGCACAGGCAACGTAACCATTAGCAATGGCATCATGTGGAGTATCAACAAATTTAATTTCCAGTTTAAGATTGGTTACCGGACGAGCGTCACAATCTGGCCGACAAAAAACCTTGGCAACCTTATTGCAAACGTAAAATGCTCCCGTAGCAAAAGGATCACCAAATTGGTAGGCTTTCCATTTTGCGTTTTCAGAAGAGTATACCATTATCAAAGATCAGGGGTATGGACTATAGGGTTTTGATAACCTTAGGTAGGGGAGTAATCAATGAGAAAAAGCCACTTTGAATCAAAAGGGGTTTTATCAATCAAAGTGAATGCGACGCTGTTTATATATGCGGTTGTAATTTTCCACACCCCCCTCCATTCGTTAATGGGGCCTGCGGAGTGACGAAAGGGTTTCTGGAACGCTGGGCTCATTACGCATAGGAATGCATATGCAGACGCATTATGCACATAAAGGTGGTAAGTAAGCTTCGGGGTTCCGTGGGTGCGGAAAAGTCTGGGCCCTTCGGGGAATTAAATTCGGATCATTAACAGATGGTTAATTGAGCGATTCAAACTCAAATTTGCAATCAACAAGTTGGAACCATTTTGTATATTCAATGTAAACTATGTCTCGGAAAAACTAACCAATCTTTCACAATTGACGTTACCACCATCTAAGACATGCCCCCGGGAGTGCATACACTATATTGTGCGACACCCAATTGGGCGAGTGGAGAGTGAGGCGTGCATGACTAGGGACGTGGGCGCGGGATTCCACGTTAAATAAAGAATGGTCTTATTATTACACCATGCAAGGTTCTGCACATCTATCGCGCGGAAACCATAACCGATCGTGAGCGGACATCCGAAATTTTGCCGTTTGATGTCCCAATTGGGAGTGTTTCCGAGTTTTGGCCAGTCCCCTAATACTTCACCAGCCGCGGTCGAATTTTGATAGTATCCTATACCTCGGAACTCCTAACTGGAATTCTGTTCCTAAGCACATGGCCAGTGAAATTGTAACATCGAAATCGTACAAAGTTGTTCCATGACGCAATGGACACTAAAGCAGCCCCACGCCGTTTTGCTACTCACATACCCGCCCCGTCGAACGTGGATTTGATGTGTAAGCGGTGTTTTATCTTGCATAAATTCAATATGTCACTTCATTTGCAGCTGAGACATAGCTTGTCTGACGTCATTGCGTGGAGTGTGTGGCGAAGTATCTGATTATATGCAAGGACTCTGCTGATAAGAGCTGTCAACAAACCTTATGATTCACCCAAGTAATTGATAATTTATATATAATTTGCCCTCTTACTTTTGTTTTGCCTTTTCTCTTCTTCTTCTCCTTCTTCTCTAGGTTTCCATTCTCGTTTCATTTCCTGATATTTTCCAATTTCTTGTATTATTTTTTACCTTCCCCTCCAAATAATATCATCACCTCATCAAGAAATTGAATTATTTTGTCTCCTCAATGCGCACGCGCTCGCAACGATTCAGGGGAACATGTAACGCGGTTAAAAACGGTTTTTTCTCATCATCACACTTCAAAGAGCCATTGGTGATTCTACCACAACACATGTGGACTTTCCTGATGATAGAATCTTGACAACTCCAAGGCAATTGCTACCGACAATACTTACCCATATCTTGTCATGACGTCATGAGACGATATTTTTCATCATTGTGCACGTGACTTTGACGTCAGGGTAAATTTCACAGGGTATACCGATCGATTTTCTCATGCACAACCACCCACGTCATGAGGGCCATCTCCACACTGTGAACGTCAAGTATGGTTATGTGGTGTTTCTCCTTTCGATTGTGCACATTGTAGTGGTTGCTACTGTGCCTAGACTAAGAAAAGTAGGATCTTCTTCGACTCGAAGATCCCTTCCATGGTTACCCCAGATTGTTATTTGGGCAATTTTACTTGCAATTCTTGGTGTTTGGAATATCCACGAATGGCTGGAACACTATAATGTTTCAATTAAGCGGTTTGGTCGGATGGCTTATTGTTTATTGCCGTTTGATATCTTGTTGGCATACAAGTATTGGCCATTGGAAAACTACTTGCAAAACCTTAATTTGCACAAATGGATGTCCCGGATCATTGTGGTGTGTTCCATGATCCATGGCATTGGATACTTTGTCAAATGGTTTGTGGAAGGAACGTTTTTCCATCATTTGTTCAAAATTGATAATTTATTGGGAGTGGTTGTTTTTGCAGCCGCTGTGGTTTTATTGGTGGTTTCCGTGGCTCTTTTCCGCCGCCAGAGCTACCGCTTGTTCTATGTGTCCCATAACATCACAATAGGCATGTTTGTTGTACTTATTTTGTTCCATGCTCGTCCACCAGTGACATTGTTCGTCGCAATTTGCGGTCTACTTTTGGCAATTTTGTTTTTTATCAAGTTCCAAACCTACTCCGCTACTCCAGTATCACTCAAGGAGGTTCCCAACTCTTCGCTTGTTTTGGTTTCTTTCCCTTGGCCAGACCACATTGCAACTTCTTTCAAGCCTGGTTCGCATGTGCGAATAAATCACTCCAACCGGTCGTGGAAATCGTGGGTTTTTGCTTCCCATCCTTTCACATCTGCTACCTTGCCTGGAACAAGCGAGACCTTGGATTTGGTGGTGAAAAAAGGTACCTTCATTTTTGCAAAAGATACACAGTATAACTTGTCTTCGCCGTATACAAGTTTAAGTTTCGACGACAATCTGATATCCCGGTTCGACCAGAGTGTGATAATTTGTGGAGGCTCTGGTATCTCGTTGGCAATTCCAGTTTTCAAGTATCTTATCACCAAACTAGACGTCACCATGATTTGGTGCACCAGAAGTAAAGCCGACTTGTTTGTGCTCCGCCATTACTCGCTACTCGATAAAGTCCAAGTTTACATCACAGGAAACGATTCTTTAAGTGTCGAAGACGAAAGCGAGGGCCATGGCTTGATGCACGAAACCATCGAACTTGAAAATCTCGAAGAAAGTTCCAAAAATTCCGAGGCTACAAAACAGCCAGAGATCCTCCGTGGTAGACCAGACTTAAACAACGTGTGTGCGAGCTTAGAAACGACTCCAAATTCCAGTTGCGTAATAAGTTGTGGTCCTCGCAGTCTTGTCAAAGATTGTGAAAATTGGTGCCGTAACCATAAAATCGAGTCGGTTACGGAGATTTACGAGATGTAGCGGTAATATATTATATATGCAAGAGAATATGAATAGAAAGCAACTTAAGATTAAAATACAAGCAATAAAGTTTGATCGCTGCAAAAAAAGAAGCTCGCGCTCAGGTTCGAACTAAGGACCAACAGATTTGCAATCTGCTGCGCTACCACTGCGCCACACGAGCATATTTGGGAAAAATGGACAGCACTTAAAACAAGAAGAAATAACAGAGAGGGCAGTTATTTACCAGTATTATCCCTACCGTATCGCCTAGTCATTACCAGCCCAGCCAGTTACTCATACTTTTCTTGTCATTTATGAGATTCTGGAAAATGAGGAACTTGTAAATTGTATAGATGTTGCATTCAAAGTACCTTCATTCCGTCAATTTCCATTAGTTCTCTACAAGTAACCCACCATTTTAACCAACCATACATGATCCATATAGTACTTGTAACCAGTTCACTATCTTTTAATTTCGAGTTTCGCGATATTCTATTTTTTCGCATTTTTAATTAATTCTCACTTTCAATCTATTCTCACGTTAATTTTGCACTTTACCTACCACTAATTCACCTTCCATTTAACATTTACAACCACCAAAGGACCAAATACTCCCACACAACCACCCTCCTCATAACTTCATTCTGGGATGTCCATACTCAAAGATGTACAGAAAACAAACGACTTCAAAACCGTTCCTCAACCCACCAAATTTTCCGTCGCAGACCTAGAATCTCTCTCCAATCCCGCAATTGCCTACAAACTGCCGTTGGCGGTGATTGCACTAGTGGATATGAACGCGTTTTTCGCACAAGTGGAACAAACTCGACTAAATCTCTCCATTGATGATCCGGTGGTTTGCGTTCAATGGCTGACCCTCATTGCAGTTTCGTACGCCGCTCGAAAATATGGCATAAATCGGATGGATAATGTTAAATCGGCACGGGAAAAATGTCCCGATGTGATTCTTGCTCATGCTGCTGTGTTCAAAAAGGGAAATCCATATTGGTCTTATGTTGATGGACTTCCCAACCAAGCAGAGCACAAGGTTTCCCTCGATCCTTATCGGCGAGAAAGCCGGAAAATCATCAAAATCATCAAGCAGCACTGTGACGTGGTCGAGAAAGCGAGTGTGGACGAATGTTACATGGACTTGGGGCGTGAAGTTCACAAGAGACTACTTTTGGAATTTCCTCAACTTCGTCAATTGGGGCTGAAATTACCTGATATACCGCCGCAACTCCCGGAATCGCTTTATTGGCAGGGAGAAACAGTCAGAACCGAAGCAGAAGATGCCGAATTACAACTGAGAGAAAACGTTTCCTCGTCACAAAAACCTCCAGCATCTCCTCCTACAATTTCTGATTGGGATGATATTTGCGTACTTATCGGTGCTCAGGTTCTCTACAAAATCAGGAAACTCATCTACGACGAGCTCTCATATACTACTTCGGGCGGAATTGCCAGAAACAAATTTCTTGCTAAACTCGCAGCAGGATTCAATAAACCAGACAATCAAACCATCATCAGGCTGGCCCTGATTCCTAATTTTTTGACCAATTTTCAGTTTAACGATGTTTCAGGAATGGGAGGGAAAACAGGCGATACCGTACTAGCACGCTTCGATACCCCACCAGGTGTCAATTCATTTACTCATCTTCGTGAAAATTACACTTTACAAGATATTCAAAAAGAGTATCCTCAAGATCCACAATTTGCCCAGAAAATCTACGATATAGTTCGAGGCGATGACAAACAACCTCTAAGGCTTCGAACAGACGTGAAATCCATGATGTCAAGAAAAAATTTTATTCCTCAAAGACCAGTAAAGACGCTTTTTGATATTTTTTCTTGGTTGAAAGTGTATGCCGGTGACCTTCATAATCGATTTATCGACTTGGACGACGAGAATATGAACCTTCTGATGCTGCTGGTGTCACACAAGGAGAAAGGGGTGCTTGTTCGCCCCAAAACTATGAGCTTACAGATTGGGTTTTTGTCGGGTGCAAGAATATCAAAGCAAGTTACCCTTCCTGTGTTTCGCTCGCTTGATAAATTGCACCAAGTAGTCGAGTCTACCAGCTTAAAATTGATGAAGGAGATGCTTGAGCTGAGTGGAAAAATCGAGGATTCCGGCGGAACAGATATCAAGAAGATTGACTTTAACGATGATGAAAAACTTAAAAAAATCAAGGTGAACCCAATTTTAAACTGTGCATTGATCGTCTCAAATTTCACCGTCACTTCCGATTCCAGCCTTATAGACCGCTACGTTGGAGATTCCGGAGCCCAAGATACGGAAGAAACGATCAAACGAATGTTTGATGCTGTAAAAGAAGAACAAGCATCCAAACCACCATCGCCCAAAAAGCCCAAAACTGCGAAAGTTGATAACGATTATATCACCAAACTTTTCAGCGATTACAAGCTGAGAAAAACAGAAAACGTTCCAAAACGCGAAAAGAAAGAATCTTCCCCCAAACCTGATATATTTGCAAGGCTAAATAGCCAGGCTTCAAAACAGTCGACTTTTGCAATCAAAGACGGGTACTGCACACAGTGCAACTGCAAAATCGACGACGAACCAGAGCACCGCGATTACCACTATGCCCTCGAGTTGTCGGAGAAATTGAACCTGTCCCAGCCCACCCTCCAGTTCAAGCGTAAGTGACTGAAGAGCCCAAAGTTACCAAAGCACCGGATACAGCATATAAATTAAGCCATCGAATATCCTGCATATAGAACAACATTCATATATTCACTTCTCCCCACAGCTCACCTCGGTCAATAACCATGTCTAAGGTGAACAAGAATGCATTGCCGTATGCGAATGCGGCAACTATAGGTATGTAAATTCTGCTACTACAACCACAAACAACACTAACATAGTGAGAGCTCATCAGAAAGATGCTTATTTTGAGTCTTCTTTTCGAACGAAAATTCAAGATGTCATCCATGTTTTAAAAGGTCAAAGATATGTTCACACACATCCTGAGGAAATCACCGTTGCGGCAAAATCGCTCTACTTGGCGCTCACAACACTTTTGGGTGCTAGAACCTTGGGAGAAGAGTATGTGGACTTGATGTATGTTAATCGAAGCGGCAAACGATTACCCCACATGTTGCCCAAAATCGGGTTTATTGTCTCGTATGCCCTTTTGCCGTATGTAGTGAGCCGGTTAGTCAAAAGGTGGAGAGCTGGCAAAGAGGGAGACGAACCCTGGTATGTTACGACGTTTTTGTCGTCCTACACCAAAATACTCGATGTGCTCATGAATCTTCATATTGCCGTGTTTTATTTTCTGGGTGAATATTATTCGCTTTCTAAGCGTATATTTGGAATGCGGTACGTTTTCGGTCATAATAAAGACCCTAAGAAGCTCAAACAAGCTACAGGCAGTTACGGTTTATTGGGTGCAGTGATCTTGCTTCAGTTTGCGGTAAAGGGACTTCTCAATCTCAAGACTCACCTCAACAAGAAAAAAACTTCTGAGAAAGTTGACCAATCTGGATCCGATACACTCATCTCAAATATTGGCCAATTGGAAAAAATCGGAGAAAAAGTGAACAATGACGAAAATCTCTACAAATCTATGAACATTGACCTTTCTGACCCCACGCAGCTCCCTTATATACCGGAAAACACCCGCGCCTGCATGCTTTGTTTGTCGCCAATGACGAATCCAGCCGCGGCCAATTGCGGCCATTTTTTCTGCTGGATCTGCATCGTGGATTGGATTCGCGACCACCCGGAATGCCCGTTGTGTCGGCAGCACTGCGATGAACAAAACCTCTTACCGTTACGATAAATGGAATCGGACGCTTATGTAATATTTCGTGACTGCTGACCAATCCAACACAATTCAATAATTCAACACTGCGATTCACGTCTGGCGTCCATGAGTATATACAGCGTTCACGAGCGCGTCGAGTTGGGGGAAGCTCACGGCGATGACTACACTCACACGTTCAAGCCGGCAAAGCATCAGCTGGCAAAAGTCAAATTTCAACACTATGTGAGGGCAGGAACTCGCACGGTTCAGGAGTTGATTCTTCAACATAAAATATTTGCAATTTTATTGATGCTTTTATTGTCGCTTTCTCTCTTCACATCGACGCCGTTTATCCCACATTTTCGCCGCGGCGATCCAAAAGTGGTGATAATTCTTGCTGCAAATGAAGGTGGTGGTGTTCTCAAATGGAAGGGTCCTCAAGAATGGTCGGTGGAAAGATCACTGATTGCCAACAAAAAGCAGTACGCCAAGAGACACGGGTATGCTCTAACCATCAAGGACATGACGATCAAAAAACGATATTCTCACGAGTGGAGAGAATCGTGGGAAAAGGTGGACATTCTCAAACAAACCATGAGACAATTTCCCAATGCCCAATGGTTTTGGTGGCTTGATCTTCACACATTCATCATGGACCCGACCCGGTCGTTGGAAGAGCATTTTTTGGACGATCTCGAAGGTTCAACCTACCGTACTCTCGACAAACTCAATCCTCTAAATATCCCAGTCGACATTCCCTACGTCAACTACGACAACCCAGTGGATATGATAATAACACAGGACTGTGGCGGGTTCAATTTAGGGCTGTTTCTCATGAGGCGGTCGGCGTGGTCAGAGATGCTTTTGGATAGCTGGTGGGACCCGGCGTTGTACGAGCAGATGCATATGCAATGGGAGCACAAAGAACAGGACGCACTAGAAACGCTCTACCTGACCCAGCCGTGGATCCGCGAGCGTGTGGGTTTCTTACCTCTCAGAATGATCAACGCATTTCCTCCCGGAGCCTGCTCGGATAAGGCCGACGACCCACAATATTTCTTCCATCGCCACGACTTTGTCGTCAATATGGCAGGATGTGAATGGGGTCGAGACTGCTGGCAAGAAATGGAGCACTACAAGGCGCTCAGTAAACAAATTTACAAACCATGGTGGCATTTTTGGTAAAGCTAGTCAATATGTAGCGACTTTTCATATACTGCACACAGCCCCCAGGGTTTTCGATTTTTCGCATATTCTCAAAACTTCCGCAGCCGCTCGCCTCAAAAACACACCACCAACATGAGTGAGTTCTGGCTATATGACGACTTTGACGGTGCCCAGAGCAACCAGGGAGGTGGAGACGACTTTCTCTCCAACTTGTTTTCCCAAGAATCTTCTCAAGATGCTCCTTCGAGTGCCATGTCGATGCCGATGGACCAGCCGACCAACCAGTCAATGAACCTAATGTTTCCTATGGAGACGAAAAACCCCGACCAGGGCAACCGCCCCATGGAAAAGCAGTTTATGGCTGGCGGGGCGATGAGCCAGAGCCCGGGAAACCAAGGAATGGATAATCTGACGATAAACCCAAGTATGGACCAATTGGGAATGAACCAAATGAACCAAATAAACCAAGGAATGAATCAAGGAATGAACCAAGGACCCAACCAAGGACTTGGTCAAGGAATGAACCACAACCAAAACCAAAACATGAACCAAAACCAAATGAACCTCAACCAAAACCAGAACCAAAACGTGAGACAAAACCTGGCCGGGTTGAACCAAGGCATGACAGGCATCAACCACAACCAGCGTCCGAACCAAGGTCTTGCGGGTCAAGCCGGGTCGGGGCCTGGTCAGCTCAACATGCAATTCCACCAGCCACAAAACCAAGCGTCGCCCATGAACTTGAACCTGCCCATGGCAGGTCAGCAGAGTATGATGAACAATTTCTCCAACCAAATGCGAATGCCTCAAGGTAGCCAGCAGCCACAGACTCTGTTGGACACCAGTAAAAAGGAGCAGTTATCTCGGATGCGACAGCAGATAATGCAGCAGCAAATGCTCCAGGCACAAAAGCAGAAGCAGCAGCAGCAGCAGCAGCAGCAGCAGCCCATGAACGCTCTGGCCCAGGCGCAGGCTCGGGCTCAAGCACAAGCTCAGGCTCAAGCCCAGGCTCAGGCTCGGTTGAAAAACATGGAAATGGAAGCATCTCAGCAACGAACTGGACTTATTACTCAACAATTCAGCCCTTCATTGGGTAAACCTCCTGGTTCTGTGGGTATTGAAACTCCACAGCAGAACGCAGCAATGCCTCAAGGAGCTCAAAATAATCGCCAGTTTCTGAACCAGAACATGGAGCAGTTTTATCGACAGCCGCAGAACTTTAATTTCCAGCAACAACCGCCGCAACAGCAGCAACAGCAACAACAACAAAATCCACAGACCCAGACTCCACAATCCCATGGAACTCCGCCAAACATGCTTCAACAGGAACCTCCATCGCAGCAACCCCAGGCGGCTGGACAAGCACAAGGAAAACTTCCACCTGCCCAGATTGCCCAGCTTCAAATCGAAATATTTATGGCGGTTTTGAACGACTTCATGAGTCGCCGTGGGTCCCCCATTCGAGAGCCAATTGTGGTGAACAGAAAGAGAGTCAATCTTTTCTTTTTGTATGTTCTTTCGCATAAACTAGGCGGGGCGCAAGTGATGATCAAGTCGCTTCAGCAGCCTCAACAGCCGTCACCGTGGTCGATTTTGGCACAACGGCTCAATTTGTACGAAGGAGTGGATACGCCAGCTGGAAGGGCCAGCATAGATAAAGAATTAAGTTCATGTTACGTGCAATATGTGCTTCCCTATGAACAATATTGCAGCACTCCAGATGGTCAAAAGGATATCCAGGAGCGCCGACTTCATTACCAGAAGCAGCTTGTGGCCAAACTTCAACGTCAAAAACAGCCACCAACACCAAACCAACAGCCGGCTCCAAATCAAATTCCGCTCCAGCAGCAAATTCCTCAACAACAGCCCCATCAAAAACAGCAGGCAATGTCACCAGGTGTAAACCAAATGAATCAGATGTCACCGCCAACAGTCTCACCAGCCCTCCACAACAAACCCGCTCCAACTCCAACTTCAAATTTTGTTCCGGGACAAACTTTTCCACCTGAATCTGTGTCTTCAGCTCCAACTCCTCGTCAGCGCCAGCAGTCCCGAGCCAGCACACTGTCGCACAACTCGCCGCAAGTCCAATCGCCATACGTTCACCAAAACCAATCCAGAGCAAGCAGCGTCGTTCAGGCGACCCAGAGATCTGTCCTGGGACTGAGAGGTAACCCAGGAGAACCAAAACCAACCAGTACCACCAACATGATCAAGAACTATATTCCTTACCGAGCTTCAGCTGACACACAAGCCGGTCATGATATAATGACATTATCGTCTCTTGGTCAAGACATTGATATGGCCAAGCCTGTGTTTCTTTTCGCTCCAGAATTGGGTGCCGTTAACTTGCACGCATTGACGATGTCTCTCAAAGCAATGACAAGCCCCTACAGTGACGAGGTGACCAATGCTTTGAACACTTTACTCGTGGTGTCGCTGGACGCTGCTCTTTCGATCAAATTGCCTGAATGTCCGGAATTGCTTGATGCTTTGTGCACAGTTGGATCGAACTTGGTGGACTGCATTGTGCGCCAGAGTCCCAAGATGACTTCAAATGAAATTTCCACTGAACCTTGTGGCACTATCGATGCAGTCTTCGAACGCTATGTAAATACGGATTCGCAAGATGAGGACATTGCCTTTTTCGTGGACTCACTTACGGCTCAAGTGGTGCAAGATTCAGATATGGACTTGGACGACGATTTGTTCTCGGAAACTAACCAGTCTACGGCTGAACTGCTGCCCGATACTCTGGATATCAAAGAAAACGTCGAGTTTCACCTAGATGATTATATGAGTGCTTTACGAGGATTTAAGGAGGAAAATAGGCACCATTTCAGTAAGCAGCAAACACGCAGTGCTACCGACGACCAGATCATGATGGTGGACCAATTGGTTTCTGTGCTCATGATCTTGAGAAGCTTAACAGTTTTGGATGTGAACAAGCCAATTGCAACAAGCAACGTTTTGTACAAGAAATTGATAATGCAAACCGTCACGGCGGTGGCCGAGCACCCTGACAAGTTCATATTCCATCGCAAGCGCTTAAGTTTGCTCAAAGACTGTTTGCTCATGTTGCAAAACGTGGCTCTAGAAATCCAGCTTTCTTCTATGGAAGAGACATTCACAGCATTGGCGTTAGTTTTCAGTTTTGGGCCTCCACCCAGCACCGATTTGGACATCCCAGTGGCTCCTCTCGACACCTACACTTACCTTCCGTTTGCAGTAGATGTGATGACAAAATTACTTGTTCAAGAACCGCAAAACCGGTCTCTTATGCAAGCGGTATTGACTGGCACCTTGACTGGCACCTTGACGGCGTCGATAGGTATAAGTAGACAGGACCACGAAAAAACCAAGGTTGTGGCTACTCGGTACTTGGGAGACGAGCACAAGCTTCGTCAAGGTCAATTGATGACCAATGCATTCCATTTGTTGATGAGTGTGATTCCATTTGAGAAAAGTGCATCCGAATTGACCAAGACGATTTTCTCGTCGGAGCCCATTATGTCACAAGCATTTTTCGGAGTCAAGCTCGTTTTGGACCTGATTCCGATAGAAGACGATACAGGACTCAGCGACTTATCTACAAGGTGGCTTATCGCCAACAAGTTCCGGATTTTGTCGAATTTGGGTCGGTCTGCCGTCGTCATGATAGGCGAAGGCGCGAAACTACAAAGAGGAAGTAATGAGCACCGGGTCGTCAGTACGATAGTGCAAGAGGTGTTGATCGTGGTGAATACTCTCTTGACGCATGCTTTAACGATAAGAGACAAACTTTTGCAAACAAACAAAGAAAGCAAATTAATTGGTGAAATTGAAGATTTGGTCAATATCGTGCGAGTCGCACCGGATCCTTTGTTTGCTATGGAAACAGTGCTTGCTTCGTTGGTAGACGGCGCATTGAGCCGAGAAGTGGTGAGATTATTGGCGGTGTTGGACAAATTGGAGAAGAGATAATAGCCGCTTATGCCTCTTTTTCCGTATTCCTGATGGGGAAAATTCCTTGACGTTATCGATGGGGCTTGAAATTCTGGGGTACCAGTTCCCGATAAGGGAAACCTTCGCGCCAGATAAGCGGAGTAGGATGCGATTTGCATTGCGATTTGCATGCAAGGATATGCCACTTACACTATATAATTGACGGGCGAACCAAATAATTTCGTAGCTTATTATATCATGGCAACAGTTACAACTGTAAAACCTAGCGCTCCTCCTGCGGATGTTCCTGAAGAAAATCTTCTTCCTGGTGAGCACACTTTACCAGCATCTTGGTGGACATCGGAGAAAATCTTTGAGTTGGAGCAGCGGGCTATTTTCAACAAATCTTGGCTTTTCTGTATCCATGAATCTCGGTTCAAGAAGGCTGGTGACTATTTTGCGTTTTCGTTCACTGGGATCAATTTTTTTCTTATCAAGTCAAAGGTAGACGGAAGAATCAAAGCGTTCCATAATGTGTGTCGGCACCGTGCTTATCCCGTAGTCAGAAAGGAGCTGGGATCCTCGGTGGTTTTGGGATGCAAATACCATGGGTGGTCGTACAATAGTGACGGAATGTTGACCAAGGCACCGCAGTTTGAAAATGTTCAAGGGTTCAAAAAAGAAGAAAATTCTCTTTTTCCAATTAAAACCCATGTTACATCGCATGGTCTTGTGTTCGTCAACTTTAGTGCCACTGACGACGAGGAATCTGGGTACCTTCCGTTTGAAAAATTCTACCAAGGGTTGAATTCGGAGCTCGATGAGTTTGATTTTTCAGATTACGAGTACCACATGTCCTATGAATTGGATGGCCAATTCAACTGGAAAACGTTGATGGATGGATACCAGGAATGCTACCATTGTCCCACGGCTCACCCAGGACTCAATTCTGCTTTCAAGATGGAGACCTATAAGGTTGTCCCCAAGACGAGATACTGTCGTCACTATGCTGAAATTGTCCGCAACGAAGAAGCACCTGCTCCCGAGCCAGAAACCGAGGAAAATGGCAGCTGGTTTGGATTTGGCAAGAAAAAGGAACAAGAACCCAAAAAGAAGACTAATGTTGGTGGAGAGTTCGATGGATTGTGGGTCTACCTTTTTCCCTCCAATGGGATCAACTGTTATTCTCCAGCGTGGTACTCGATTCGAGTTCTCCCCATTCTGGCGACCCACACCATCTTGCAGTACGACATTTATACCAAGAAAGGGTTGGACGAAGCCACCAAAAAGGAATTTGTCGATTTTTTGCAGCTAGTGGAACTTGAAGATTTCAACTTGTGTGAAAACACGCAAAAGAACCTCAACAAGCGTGTGTATTCGACGGGATACTTGCACCCCACCAAGGAACGCGGGGTGTTATATTACCAGGGTTTGGTAAGGGATATGGTGAAACAACATTATGCCAAAGAGCAGGAACTTGGTAAGCCCATTAATCCTGCATTTGTGGGGCAGGCTGCGAGCGACCCCAATGTGCAGGAGCTCGATGCGATTTGCGATCAGCTTGAGTGCGGCAAGTCGACGGTTGAGTGGTGATAAATGTACTGCAGAAAGATAGTAATGGAAATTGTAGAAATGGAGATTTGTAGAAATGAAGTTTATAAGTCGGAAAGAGTGTAGTCAAATCATGAAAATGAAATTTTCATGATTTTCATGATTTTCATAATTCTCCCCGGATCCGAGATTCACACCCAACACCACTTTCCCTGCCCCGCTCTCCCAGCTGCAGGACCGAGGCTCTTGCATCTGACAGCGCCGTCATCGATCTTTCTTCATGTCGTTCGTAGGTGGTGGAACCGACTGTTCTGTCGGCGGAAATGCAGTTTCTCAGTTCAATAAACATACCCAGCAGGACAGATCCTTGCAGAGACAATCGGCTCAGCCAGGTGCTGTTCCTCAGGCTCAAAATTTCAAAAACGAATCCATGATGAATGCTCGTGATCGTCAAAATATGGAGCAATTTTACAATAATAACGGTGGTCCCAGCTTCCAATTCCAGCCTATGAGACACGAGATCAATAGAATTGCCAGGCTGTCGGCGGGTCCCACACAGTCTCCAGGTAACGGATGGACCAGTGAATTTGCACATGATTTGAAACATTCTCAGAGCCCAGTTCCTCGTAATGCGTCGCCACAAACGTTGGGAAGAACCACTAACAACAACTGGGCATCGGAGTTTCGTCCAGACCACATGGCGGACGGAATGGTTGCAAATCATGGTCCTCAACCGTACCTGATGAACCAAGGTTATCAGAGTTACCGACCAATGATGGGTCTGATGGGAATGGGAATGGGTCTGATGGCCATGGGGCTGACTATGGGAATGCAGAGAGATGTTCCCATGGAGCAACAGGCACAGAATCAGGCACCTGATGTGGACTGGGACAATCAGTTCAAAGAGATCGAAGAGCTCACATCTAAAGTAGAGGAAAAGCAAGAGGCCAAGGAGGGTCAGGCAGACGATATCATTATCGATGACAAGTACCAGGCTACGTTTCAAGAGGTTTGGGATAATTTGAACCTGGAATCTATGGAAAATGACTTCATTACTCAGCAATACGAAGAGTTCAAAGACTCGCAAAGAGAGACTCTCCCGGCTGACATGTCGCAATGGGAGCGTGATTTTGCCAAATATGCTTCTACCAGGGCCCACTTTGGTGACTACAAGTTTGAGGACGAAGATCAGAACCAGTTCCTGAACATGAAGGATGCATACGAGATCGGTCTCGAACTCATGGAAAACGGCGCCAAGTTGTCGGAAGCTGCGTTGGCGTTCGAGGCGGCTATTCAACAGGATAAGAGCCACATTGGTGCGTGGTTGAAACTTGGTGAAGTTCAGACCCAGAACGAGAAGGAGATAGCCGGCATTGCTGCATTGGAAAAGTGCTTGGAATTGAACCCGGAAAACTCTGAGGCACTCATGACCCTTGCTATTTCTTACATCAACGAGGGCTACGATAATGCAGCATTTGCAACGCTCGAACGGTGGATCTCCACCAAATACCCCAATGTGGCCGAACAAGCTCGACAGCAAAATCCTTCTATCAACGACGAAGACCGGTTCTCGTTGAACAAGCGTGTTACTGATCTTTTCATGAAGGCAGCTCAATTGTCCCCCGACACTGCTAGTATGGATCCTGATGTCCAGATGGGCCTTGGTGTGTTATTTTACGCCAATGAAGATTTTGACAAGACGATAGACTGTTTCAAGGCCGCATTGTCTATCAAACCCGACGACCCTATCCTTTGGAACAGACTTGGCGCTTCGCTTGCCAATTCTAACCGTTCTGAAGAGGCAGTTAATGCTTACTTTAAGGCTCTCGAACTCAAGCCTACGTTTGTTCGGGCACGCTACAATCTCGGAGTGTCGTGTATCAATATCGGCTGTTACAAAGAAGCCGCTGAGCATTTGTTGAGTGGAATTTCCATGCATCAAGTTGAAGGAACCGGGTCATTGAGCCACAACCAATCTTCGTCGTTGACGGAAACTCTCAAGCGAGCTTTCTTGGCAATGGACAGAAGAGACCTCCTCGAGAAGGTGAAGCCAGGTATGGACTTGTCCATCTTCCGTGAAGAGTTCAACTTTTAGCATGGTCGTTGATTCTATGTAGTTTTATAGTGTGGGTGCACGGCTGTATATATGACTCTTATCTGAAAATTTATTTCTGGTTAGTCGCTAAATGTCATTCCCATTGCTCCCTGTTGTATCGCTGCCGACGGAGATTGAAGCCGTTTCGGTTGTTGGTCAGGCTCTTACTACCGTGGAAAGCGTAGACAAACACTTTTTGGACTCTTATCCGGCCCATGTTGACGTTTTCGTTGATTTGAGATCACTGCAAATCGACCCTATCGACGTGCTTAACGCTGGTGTCAAGCAGATTGTAGTAGACAAGGCAAAGTTTGATGACCTTACGTCGTCGGGTATCCCGGAATGGAGATTGATACTTGCTGAAAATACTTCATTTCCTAAAGAGGCTTCGATTTTGGTGACGAAACCACTCTCAGAAGACGATTTTAAGCGTTTAAGTGATGATGGAAACAGACCAATTTACTTGGAAAAGACGTTTACTGAAGAGGAAGCCATAGATTCTGCCAAAAAAGGATACATTCCCGTGATTTCAGCAAGCAAATTGAGTAAAACAAAGGCTGCAAATTCCATTTTCATTGGTGAAATATTCACCAGCACACTCACCACTGATCGTTCCGATGGACTTTTCACCACCTTGGTAGTGGCACCTCCTCCTACTAACTCGGCTTTGGGTGTGGTGTACTCTTCTGTTGCTTCGATCCACGCAGCAATTGCTGATGGAGAAGGCGTGTACCAATCTCGCAAACGTCGAGATGAATTATGGTACAAGGGAAAAACCAGCGGAGCCACGCAAAAATTGCTTCGTGTTGAGAAGGACTGTGATTCTGATGCTATCAAATTCGTTGTGGAAACGAGACTGGGTTACGGTTTCTGCCACTTGAACAAGAATTTTACATGCTACAAAGATGGCCAACTTGCTGGCGATGCTTGTGGTTCTGGTCTCGCCAAGCTTGATAGTACTTTACTTCTGAGGAAGGAGTCTGCTCCCGAGGGATCGTACACGAAGCGTCTCTTTGAAGACGACAAGCTTTTGATTGCAAAGCTCAAAGAAGAATTGGACGAACTTATTGAAGCAGGCCAGAAAAAGAATTCTGCTGAAGTTGCGTTTGAGTGTGCTGACCTTTTCTATTTTGCATTGACCTGGTGTGTCAAGCACAACGTTAGTCTTGCTGATGTTGAGCGGAACTTGGACATCAAAAGTTTGAAAGTTACGAGAAGAAAAGGCGACGCCAAGCCCGCTTACCTTGAAAAGTCCGACAAAAAAGCTGAGGAAAAGACTGATAATTCAATTCCTTACAAAATGGAGGCGGTCAAGATCGACGATGTGGAGGCAGACAGCGACAAGCTCGCCAAGACTCTTGCTAGACCGGTGCAGAAGACAGCTGATATCATGAAACTTGTGCTTCCTATCATTGAGAATGTTCAAAAAAACGGCGACAAAGCTTTGTTAGAATTGACAGAAAAGTTCGATGGGGTGAAATTGGAGACTCCAGTATTACGTGCTCCATTTCCTGCTGATGCCATGAACATTTCCGACGACATGAAAGAAGCCATTGACCTTTCTATGAGCAATATCGAAAAGTTCCACGCTGCACAATTGCCCAAAGAAAAGATAATGACTGTGGAAACTTCTCCTGGAGTCTTTTGTTCGAGGTTTGCCAAGCCAATTGAAAACGTTGGTTTGTACGTTCCTGGCGGAACTGCCGTATTACCTTCTACGGCAATGATGTTGGGAGTTCCAGCAAAGGTTGCAGGTTGCTCTAACATAATTATAGCTTCTCCTCCTGCCAGAGAGACTGGAAAATTGACACCTGAGGTTGTGTATGTGGCTCACAAATTAGGTGCCAAGGCTATACTTATGGCTGGAGGTGCCCAGGCTGTCACCGCTATGGCTTATGGAACAGAAAGTGTGGTCAAATGTGACAAGATTTTGGGACCAGGAAACCAATTTGTCACCGCTGCCAAAATGTACGTTCAGAACGATACCCAGGCCTTGTGTTCCATTGATATGCCTGCTGGACCTTCTGAGGTTCTCGTGATAGCAGATAAGCATGCGGATGCTGACTTTGTAGCGAGCGACTTGCTTTCACAAGCTGAACACGGAGTCGACTCCCAAGTAATTTTAATTGGCGTTGACTTATCTGCAGCCAAATTGGCTGAGTTTGAAGAAGCTGTCAAGAGACATGCTGAGGTACTTCCTAGGAAAGATATTGTGGCCAAATGCTTGGCTCATTCTTACATTTTGTTGGTGGATAGCTACGACAAGGCATTTGAATTGTCAAACAAATATGCTCCAGAACATTTGATTCTTCAAATTGAAGACGCCGAATCGTTTGTTCCAGACAAAATTGAAAACGCTGGTTCGGTGTTTGTTGGAGCATTATCTGCAGAATCATGTGGTGATTATTCTAGTGGTACGAACCATACGTTGCCTACTTATGGTTATGCCAGACAATATTCTGGTGTGAATACTGCTACATTCCAAAAGTTCATTACTTCGCAAAAAGTTACCGAGCAAGGCTTGAAGAGCATTGGAAAGGCAGTTATGACGCTCGCGGCCGTAGAGGGTTTGGAGGCTCACAGAAATGCCATTCAAGTAAGAATGGATAAGTTGGGGTTAAGTTAATAAGATAGTCCGACTAAGAACTTCAATAAAACTTAAAAGAATGAATAAGGGTTTCTGTAGTGAGCTTGTCCTCTCTTAAAATCTACAATGAAATATTTTCATGCTTCGGAATAAATAGCCTGCTTTCACTAGCCTAAAGCTTTGATCCGGTTTCCTCCTTCGACGCTGCCAATGCCTCATAAACTTGTCCCTCGAACCGCAAATTTCCCATAAGTGAAGACAGGTCCATTACTGGAAAGAATTGGGAACCCCAAAACCCACCAACTTGATTTTCCAAATCGATCCAATAGAATAGGTTAGCAAGACCAGACCAATGTACAGCTCCTTTTGGTCTACCTGTAGGCATTTCGTTCATACTGTAGGCACAACCAGCTAATGTAAACCCATCGTTAACAAAACCTGGTGGTAATTTGACACCAAAGAGGGCTTCATAATCCACTCCGACTCCATCTGGAAGATGGTTCTTGATAGCATACCTTGCAGTTTTCTCCAGAATAACTCTCCTATTTGTATCTGGAGAATAACCGTAATTGAGCCAAATTCGAATAAACTTCAAGTAGTCTCCAACGGTACCAAAGCATCCTTGACCACCCATATCGACTTCTGGTGTTAACGGCACACCGATTTTCTTCATCGTCTTGAGGTTTCTCTCTCCAGTTCGCCGATGCATTGCTACCATGTTGCTGGCGTCGTCCATTCGAAATGTGAACGAATTCATCCCCACCACATCAAAAATCGTCTCTTTGAGAAACTGGCTCAATTTCTTTCCAGTAATTTCCTGAATCACCAACCCAAGCCAGTCAGAGCTATGACCATACATCCAACGAGATCCAGGCTCGTGGACCAAGGGAGTCTTGTCGTTGGAAAAGAAAGCCATTTTGGGATTGACAGCACTGAGTTCTGGGTTTCTAAGAAATGACAAAGCTGAGTAGTCCAGATTGACAAAGGCATATGAGAACCCCGCCGTATGGAGAAGCAAGTGTCGAATTGTCACTTCAGTTTTGGGTTTCCGGGGCGGAGTTATAAATGTTCCATTGTCTGTATCAACCTGACCAGGCTCAATTACGCCAATAGTGTCAATAAGTTTGAAGTATTGAGAAGCCGGTGCATCTAGATCAACTTCCCCACGGTCATAAAGTATTAACATTCCCATACATGTCAAGGCTTTAGTACAAGAAAAGAACGCCAATATGTTGTCTGTACTGATAGCCTCTCCAGTATCGATATTTTTGGTTCCAATTGCGTTCAAGTATACTGTTTCTTTAGCATCAGTGGCTCCAGCTATCACTCCATTTATTTCCGGATACGCATCTGGTTCTTGAGGAGTAGTCAATTCTGTGATGATTTCATCGACTTCTTGCTTCAATCTTCGTTTCAGAGCTTCGGTAAACATGCTTTCAAAAAGAAGAAACTAGACATGGTCTCACATGAATGTGGGGTACGAAACTCGCGATGAAAAAGAAGTTCTCCCAAAACTGACCAAGCATTCGGTTTAGTGGTGTAGCGGCTATCACGTTTCGTTTACATGTGCATTGCGCAGTAAGTCCCGAAAAGGCCCCGAGTTCGATCCTCGGCTAGATCATGCTTACTTTTTTTTTGATGCGACTGCGAATTTAAAAGCCTGAAAATACCATGGAATAAATAGTTACCTATAACCTGCTACCCTGAACAAACGTCGTACCCTGGTCAATGGACTTCTGTAAACCGTCCAAGGCGACCTCGGTAAGATTGGCTTCCTCGCTTGTAATCTTGTACTTTTCGAATGGATTGATGAACGACAGAATCTCTCCATTTTGCAACAATACTGGCACTGAGAAAAAAGTAACGCCATTGACATACTTTTTCGAGAACTCCTCTCCTCCTGGAAGTCCAGGCAAGTACACATAGGAAGAATCAGGAACTGGTGTAGAGTCTGCAACGGGTTTCGAAGGGTCTGAAAGCGAGTTCAACACGGTCTCAGCAAAACGATAACCAGCGTAAGCCATAGAAAGTGTAGCTGAACCAGCACCATTCTTTGCCTTGACTACCTCGTCACCACCAAATTGAACTCTTTTGACGTATGCCTGGTACTGGGAAGGAGACCATTGGGAAACCGCAGACGAGATTGTGGAATCGACATTGATCAATGGAACAATTGTGTCACCCGAGTGACCTCCAATCACAGATAAATGGCCTCTGATGGCAGAAGGAGACTGACCGGTCAATTCTCCCAAAAAGGTCTCGGCTCGGACCGAATCCAAGGTGGTTACACCAAAGAGTTTGCGAGGGTTGAACACTCCCAATTTTTTCAACACTTCAGCAGCAATTGCCACTGTTGCGTTCACAGGATTCGAGATGATCAAGATAGCAGCGTTGGGTGCAGTTTTGCCAACATTGGCCACCAAATCACGGACAATCGAAGCATTTATATTGAACAAATCGGCTCTCGTCATCCCCGGTTTCCTGGGCACTCCAGCGGGAATTATCACCACATCTGTGCCAGCCAAAGCCTCAGTAATAGCCGAGGAGTCTTCTTTGTTGGCTGGTTGATGTCCAGTAACCACAGCAGGCGTACAAATATGGGACAAATCGGCTGCTACCCCATGAGCATTGACAATGTCAAAAAGTGACAAGTGTGACACTTGAGGGTTTAACTTTAAGAGCAATGACAAAGGCTGGCCGATACCACCGGCAGCACCACAAACAGTAACTTTGACCATGATAAGGAAAATTAATGAAAAAGTTCAAGTCCCCGGATTCACATGGATCCTCGGCTGGAAAAGTGGGGACTGTCACGAGACAAGAGTCACGGGACAAAGATAGGGATAAGTGAACAGTTGATGTGGAATGAAGATGGATATGGTGTCTTTAAAGTGGACTTTACAGCTTGAAGCTGTGGGGTTGAAAATTTGTAAATTCGAAAAATTGTAAAATTTTAACCTTGTTGCAGTTTTCAAATAACCGAAAAAATGCATTGCGCAGGATAAATTGTGGTCCATTATCATTGCAGATCAAGAAAACATCTAACGATTACCAATTTTGCTAATCTCAGTTTGGCAATTGAAATAAGATTGGAAAAGTTGCTGTGAAATGGGCTTGAGATAGTGTATCGAGATGGACAAGTAAATTCCACAAAAGAGAGCATATAAGCTAATTTCATGACATGAGGCGATGAAACCACAATGGAACCATGACAGTATCGCTATGAAGCGACTTTGGAAAATGAAAATGGATAATGTACAGTGAATACATTGGCAGAGAAGACTAGTCCTCACAAGATAATAAATTATAGACTGGAATTCAAGTACTCAACACATAGTAATATGAAGAATAAGCATAACCCTAATGAAATACTTCATTCCGTAGCTCTTTCGGTACTTTCGAAATACTTCATTCAGTATCTCTCAGCACCACTCAGCACCTCTTCGGTACCTTCCGGTACCTCATTCGTGCCTCGTTCGTCACTTGCAGCACTGGGGACTGCACACGCACTCGCGCGGTGCACGCTCACTTTACCTCAATCGCTCGAGTGACTTTTCTACTCTTTATGTGGTTTCCTATTCTTACGTGGCTTGTGGCCACAGCGGTGGCTCTAGATTGTTCTGCTAAGGACCTAGACTCGTATAATTTTGCACTTTTACAAGGAACCCATGCGGTGGAATCGGTAAAGGATACCCCTCCATCTACCACCAAAACCACTTGGTACTTTGGGATTTGCGAGCTGGTTAGTTCCAAGAAAGCACCAGCGTGTCCCAAGAACGTTGATATTTGTGGAGTGACCGAGGTCAAGGTGGATAAGGATTACATCGTGACACAAGTCGTTGGGTTCAATTCCAACTTGGAGAAGAAATACACTCCGGTTGAAAGCAAGAATGAAAATGGAATCAAGATTTCGTACAAGGGAGCCAACTGGGGATCCAGTTTGGTCAACGCCGAGGTCTATTACATCTGTGCCGAAGATAAGGACGGTGACGATACTTTTACCGTAGAAAGCTGGGATGATGAAATGTTGTTCGCACAGGTCAAGTCGAAAGCCGCTTGTGTAACTTCGAAAGATGACAAGAAGAAACCAAAGAAACCAGAGGACAACGGCGAGTCATGGGGCTGGTTCACATGGATCTTCATTTTCATGGTTCTTTTCCTTAGTATCTATATTATTGGTGGAGCATGGTTCCAGTATAACAAGGGAAATGCCATTGATTTCCAAAGTGCGTTGCGAGAAGTATTGGAGAATTTTGTTGACTTGGTGAGAGGCTTGCCGCTGTTCATACGAGAAATCATAGAAAAGGTCACTGGCAGCAATCGGGGGGAGTATAGTGCTGTTTAGTCATACTCCATCAACCCCTACCATATGCAGTGCCAGTTTGACTCGCGATCAATTTCAAATCAAATTTGCGACTATTGTATCATTGTAGGACTAAAAGTAAAGCACCAAAAACCACCTCAGCAATGTCTGTTGTCCAAAAAATTAACAGTCTTGGTCCACAGGACCGTTTCATATCTTTTGAGTTCTTTCCTCCAAAAACTGATACCGGGTTCCGTAACCTTTTGGCTCGGCTCCACCGTATGCTGGCATTGAATCCTCTCTTCATAACGGTAACTTGGGGAGCTGGCGGCTCCACCAGCGAAAAGTCCTTGGACTTGGCTATCACCTGCCAGAAGGAATTGGGCTTAACTACGGTTTTGCACTTAACTTGCACAAACACCAACAAAGATATCATCGACAATGCCCTCCAACGAGCCAAGGAAAATGGCATAAGAAACATCCTTGCACTTCGTGGCGATCCACCTAGGACAGAGGAGTACTGGACACCCGACTGTGACTTCTATAGTGCGGTGGACTTGGTCAAATATATTAAACAGCAGCATGGTGACTACTTTTGCATCGGAGTTGCCGGGTACCCCGAGGGCCATGTGGAAGGAAGTGATACTTCCAACCAAAACCCGGAGAAAGATATACCTTATTTGGAAGAAAAAATCGACGCTGGGGCAGAATTCATCATTACCCAGCTTTTCTACGATGTCGATAAATTCATGCATTATCAAAAACTTTTGAGTCTGAGTCCAAAACTCAAGAACATTCCTCTCATTCCCGGTCTCATGCCCATAACCACATACAAGGTGTTTACGAGGGCTTCTAAATTATCGCACTCTTCAATTCCTCATGAAATTGAATCACAGCTTCAAAATACCTCTAGTGACGACAATGCTGTCAAGTCCATAGGTATCCGTATTATCACAGACATGGTGGACCAGATCAATAACCGGTCCAATGGTGCCATACGTGGCTATCATTTTTACTGTTTGAATTTGGAAAAAGCAGTTGCTTCGGTGCTCGATCAATCGGCGGTTCTTCGTCCTATAATGGAGGCTCCTACTAACACCATCAGCCACGACGATGCCGTGGCAAGTGACGACGAGGACATTGAGATGCCACCCAAGAAGGGTAGAAGAAGATCGTCCATCATCAACGAAAATGAGGTGGCAGCGCCCGGCTTTGCAGCCGTAGGAATGGGCCACAAAGCATCCGCCAATAAGGCTCTTCTCAGCGACAAGCGCACATTAGTGGATATTAGTACCGGTAAGGGTGCTCTAGGAAAAGACGCAACCTGGGACGACTTTCCCAATGGTAGATTTGGTGACTCCAATTCGCCTGCTTATGGTGAAATCGATGGCTATGGTCCTTCATTAAAAATTCACTCGCCTCAAGAAGCCATTGCAAAATGGGGAACTCCCGAGTCTACCAAGGACATCTCTAAGGTTTTCCTCAATTATCTCTCGGGAAAGATCAATATCTTGCCGTGGGTGGACGCTCCACTTTCAGCAGAAACAGCATTGATTCAAGAAGAACTTTTCGAGTTGAACGATAAAGGGTGGTTTTCCTTGGCATCTCAGCCATCGGTAAATGGAGCTCGCTCGTCAGATAAGATCTTTGGCTGGGGTCCTTCCAATGGGTTTGTCTTCCAGAAATCCTTTGTGGAGATCTTCATTCCCAAAGAAGAATGGAGCACAAAGTTGTATCCAAAACTCAAACACATGATCGATAACCTTGATATCACCTATTATGCTGGAGACTCCAGTGGTAAAATCCAGTCCAATCTTCCTGTTGGACCAGATAGCCACAACAGTAAAAATGCAGTGACATGGGGTGTGTTTCCACTGCAGGAAGTGCTTCAGCCCACCATCATAGATATCGAGTCTTTCAGGGCTTGGAACGAAGAAGCATTCCACTTGTGGCTGGAATGGGCCCGGTGTTACAAAAAGAACTCTGTATCTTACAATTTGTTGAATTCCATTAATGGTGATTACTACTTGGTGAGTTTGATCTACCATAACTTTAACGACGAGACAGGGTTGTGGCGGGCGCTTCTCGAGTAGACAGCAGTAACTAAGTGTCTTTTAGTTCTGTCTCCAATATTTCAATCTGCTTCTTGCCGATGCCGCTATTGAGGGTCTGTGCTAATTCGTCATCTACAATACCGAGGTATTTGCATTGTGCATTTTTGAGCATCAATACCCCGTTCATGATCAAGGTTCCTCGGTTCACCACGAGTCTCCCCCCCAATGAGATTCCTAGTGGAGTTTTTGTGTCTTTTTTATGATGCAAAAATGATAGTTTATCGTTATATTCGTAGGCAAAGCACAAATTTCCAGCAGTATCTCGAAGAAGAAGTTTGTAGATGGCACTTCCCGAGCCAATTGAGTCCGAATCTTCGTTATCTATACTTCGAATGATCTTGGAATTGCCCATCCGATCCACAGCAACTCTGTTGGGATCCTGGTACTCTTTCCACTCGTCTAGTTGACGAAGTTTGGAGGTAGAAATATTGGTTATTTGCAAAATATCGAATTGTATCTCGGACGCCGTGAAAGCTTCATTGGTAGTGGTGTATTTTTGGGGATCAAAAGACATGAAAGGAAGAAGCTATAATGCTATTTTAAGGTTAATTGGAGATGAAAAATTATCTTACAACAGTTCTCAGTAAGTTTCTTGTGCTCTCTTTACAATTCTTAGTTATGATTGCTCTCCTTGCTATCGTGCGTTATTTCCTTCTTCTATTATGTTATTATGTTGCAATAAATTGGTACAATATGCTTATCTCAATCTCAAATCTCATATGATTAAATCTCAACTAATTTATTCGCGCTCTTCATGTCATCGCTATTTGTGGGGGAAGATGACGAGTTAGGACAGACTTTGCTACAAGCCAATGAAGTACAGGAGGAGAGTACCAGTGAAGGTCTGAATCATAATCTACCGCAATCTTCTGTTTCAGATGATGTTGACGAAGAAGTCACCGAAGTTTGTTGCACGCTTCCTTTGAAGTTTCAACAAGAAATCGTAGAAGATATGCTTCTGCGCGACGGATTGTTGATTTTGGGACGTGGTTTAGGGTGGAAGACCATCGCCGCCAACTTGTTGCATGCTTTGTGTTCACCAATTCTGTTGCAAAAAGGTCCCGGAGTCGCTCCGAAACGAAGTTTGATTATGGTTTTAAACGCCAGAGAAGGAGAAATATTACTGCTTGAAGAAGAGCTCACCGAACTCCAGTGGATAGATAACGCTACCAAGCTCGAGCTGAGTGATGATGAAGCATTGACTGTGATTCGAGGCGAAGCTACAACTGCTGATAAGAGACGACGTCTTTACGATAAAGGCGGTGTGGTTTCGGTTACTTCTCGAGTTTTGGCGGTTGATATGCTCTCTGGAGTCATCAAATGTAACGAAATAACAGGGCTACTTATAGTCCATGCCGAGACCATGAAAGAAGCATCGAATGAATCGTTTATCGTCAACTTGTATCGAGATGAAAACGACTGGGGATTCGTGAAAGCCATTTCTGATGAGCCCGAAAGCTTTACGGGATTCACGCCGTTGGCTACCAGCCTCAAGGTGCTTCGACTCACTAATGTCTTCCTTTGGCCCCGTTTTCATGTCGAAGTTTCCTCGTCACTTCAGGCTCGCAAAAAAGGGTCTAAAGACGATCGACGTTCTGTCATCGAAATCAACACAAAAATGTCCTACAAGATGAAAAAAATCCAGGCGGCCATTCTAGCATGTATAGAGGCCTGTCTCAACGAACTCAAGCGTCACAATGGCCTGCTAGCAACTGAATATTGGGACATGGAAAATGTCCATGATCGAGATTTCGTCCCTCGAATTCGTATGGCTTTGGATAGCCAATGGCACCGCATAACCTACACATCGAAACAGTTGATTTACGACTTGGGTACACTAAAAGATTTTCTCAAACATCTCTTGAGTTCTGATTCCCTCAAGTTCTACCAAACCGTGCAAAACATCATTGACCTGAATGTCAAATCAAAGACTGGTACTGGTGCTCTCTCTACGACGACTATAAGTCCATGGCTTAATTTGGAGGAGGCCACCACCATTATTTCCTTTGCCAAGGAACGGGCTTTGGGAAAACTTCGTATAGAACGCTCAAAAACCACGCTAGAGGAACAGGATGAATCACTAGAAGAACTCACTCCCGGACACATATCTACCCATGAGGAATATAACCTTGAGCTGCAACCAAAGTGGGGCCAACTAGGACTTTTGCTTGATGATATAATGCACGAAAAGGCCATTTTGGGTAATGTTCAACAGCCAATCCTCATAATGTGCTCAGATTTGTCAACTACAAGACAATTGGCTCAGTTGTTGCCCATTTTGGAATTGAAGGATAACGGTGGAAGAAAGATTTTCAGTGCTCGAAAGTATATGATTCGACGACTAAATGATTATTTGGCGTGGAAAGAATTGAGCAGACTTACAAAGCAGATCAACACGGAACTAGAAGTGAAGGAAGAAGATACAGACTCGAAAGAAGACGACGACATTTATACCTCAAAGACGTTCTCTAGAGGAAGAGGCGAGCCCATAAGTAAACGGAGAAGAACCAGAGGAGCCAGCACAGTAGCGCTGGTTACACGATTGCATTCCAGTGCTGGACTGAACCAGATTTCTGAAGCGCCTGATTTGGATCCAGTAATTGTGGACAACTTGAAGAGAGAAGTTAGCGATGAAGATGTACTTGAATCGGGCGGATTTGAAGTCAATGATGAAATTTATGTGGATGAAAATTCCACTCAACGACAAGAAATTGAACATATCAGTCAAATGGACCAGATAGTCATTGAAAATTATCATGGAAACAACAATGACTTTATCCAAGAATTGTCTCCTTCACACATTATCATGTATGAACCCAATCTTCCATTCATCAGGGCTGTGGAAATATACCAAGCGATCAACAAGGACACTCCAGCAAAGACATATTTCATGTACTACGGAACCTCTGTTGAAGAGCAGAAACATCTTATGCAAATCAAAAAAGAAAAAGACGCATTTACCAGACTTATTCGTGAAAAGGCAAACTTGGGACGTCACTACGAAACTGCCGAGGACAACAACAAGTTCCGTTTACAAAGATCCGATGTGGTTAATACCAGGATAGCAGGCGGAGCAAATTTTAGAACAGAAAGCGACGAATTCAGGGTTATCGTTGATATCAGAGAATTCACATCGTCGCTTCCTGGCATTCTTTATCGAGCTGGCATAAAGGTGGTTCCTTGTATGTTGACGATTGGAGATTATATTGTGACTCCCAAGGTGTGTGTGGAAAGAAAAGCCATACCAGATCTTATTTCCAGTTTCAAAAGCGGACGATTATACACTCAATGTGAGCACATGTTTCGACACTATGAATTGCCAACTCTCTTGATAGAGTTTGATGGTTCCAAATCATTTTCATTCGAACCTTTTGCCGATATTAGGCCTCAGAAAGGCAATGCACCCAATGCTATAGCCACTAAACTCTTGAAACAAGACATTCAGTCCAAATTGATGATGTTGCTTCTTGCATTTCCTAAGCTTAAAATCATCTGGTCGTTCTCGCCGTATGAAACAGCCCAGATTTTTTTGGAAATAAAGTCCAAGCAGGAGGAGCCAGACATAGACAGTGCTATCTCCAAGGGCGTGAATCAATCTTTGACAACAGAAAAGGGAGAACCACCAGTATTCAATGAAGATGCCATCGACTTGATCCAGAACATACCGGGAATTAACAATGCGAATTACTATAGTGTCATAAATCGGTTTAAAAGTATTGAAACATTGGTGAGCCTGACCGAGGACGAGTTGGTGGAGACATTGGGTCAGGAAAATGGCATAAAAGCCTATCGGTTCATTCATCGGTCGCTTCGATAGGAATGTGGGGGAATTTGACAGGTCACGTGATGTTTATCTCATTTCCGAATCGGGCCACGAGATAATGCAGCAACTTCAGTAAAATTAGAACAACCCGTCTTCTCAACCCGACTTCTCAGACCACCCGACGTGGTGTACACGCCATGCTGCGTCGTTATGCAAGTTACAATGACCGCGACCGTGAGCATAGAGACCCAATAAGATCGAAGGAACTTGAGTTCAAATACTTGTATTTCAAGTTGCAAAAATTACTCAACAAAAAAGTGGTTTTAAGTTTAAAGTATGAGCAGTTGAGAGAGCCAGAGATCCATATGACGATTGTGAAACCGCTTTCAACAAAGGTGATTGAATTGGCAGGGATAGGCATTATTCAAAAGGTAGTAGGACGAAGCTCATCGCCGAACCAAACTCCGAGATTTGGTCCGCAAGATGTTTTATCGTCGGCAGAGCAGAAAGTTTGTGGGAGCTTAGTCTTCATATTGCTATTATGCGGTACGAGTACTTGATGAATCCACCCCACAATTTGATCAAAGTGGACTTGCTTTTGACAAAAGCTAATATTTGTGAAATACTTGCTATACGCATGTTGAGAGAATACAAGTCGAGCCAGAGGACAAAGATGTTGTTCATTAGTGCATTGAAAACGAAAAACTTCAATACTTTGGAGCTAGAAAAACCTCACCAAATCCAAAAAGTTCCTTTCGCAGCC